CTTCATTGTCTCTCATCAAGGTGTTTTTAATGTTATATATTTATTGCGAAATGTACCGGGGTAAGGGGAGAGTCAGGGCAGAGGACCCTTCAGGTGTCACAATTTTCAAAGCAGAGGAATCTCGGGTTAAATGCATGAAAGCCGAAAAATGGAAAGAAAAATGCACAGGGGCTTGCTCCCGGCGTGATTTATTAAAAAAAATTATATAGAATGCAGAAAAAATTAATTTTCACCTTTAAATTCTTGTATGCATATCATTTGCCAACCGATATTTTTTATTTAAAATGTTTAATATAATAAGATATTGACCTTTATTTTTCTATGCTTCATTTGTAAATGATCGTACTATATATGTACTATGCCTTTAAAAAGCAAAATTTTCCATATTTTGATATTTACCAGTACCTAACATGATAGCTGCAGAACTGTAGCTCTCCGAAAAATATATTGATAGACTGGAGAGCTACAATGCCACCTATTGAAAAAACTAATTATTTATTGCGCACAAAACGTTGCGCTTTTGTATGGATTAATTCTTCCAAATTCTTACCTCAATTGCAAAAAATGTAGATTTCAAAAAATTCCGTACTCTTCAATTAAGTACTTTTGTAGTTGACATCTACACGAAGCGCGTTGGGTAGAATTGTCTTACAAACCAAAATGGCAGTATAAACGGACGAAATTTTCGATGATATCGATTTCAGGGCCAGGAGGGCTATAAACAACAACTATAAGGTATGTTTTGTTGTGGAAACAGTGAAAAATTATGTGAATACACGGTTAGTAATATTTTGAGATTATAGTTTTAAAAACACGGAGAAATAAATCGATAAACAGCGCACTTTTTTGTGCGCAATGAATATACAGTTTTTTCAATGGGTGTTACTGTAGCACTCCGGTCTGTCAAATTATTTTTTCGGAGAGCTACAGATCTGCAGCTACTAACATCATTGACCTCTGACAAGTGTGAAATTAAAATTGAACCGTAAACACTTGTTTGAATCTCTAGCATTGATTAAAAAAAAATAAACACAAATTTAACGAGGCTAGGGGGTGGCAGCCATTTTTAGACTATTTCAATCTCCTTTAAAAGGAGAGCTACATATAAATATATACAAAATGATAAAATTTTAAAATTAAAATATATGAATTTTTTCATTGCCAAATGATAGTTGACAGCTAAATATACCATATCTAAAAAAATAAGTTAAATCTGGTGGTTAATTTAAGATTAAATTTTTGACCCGCCAGCCTCCTTAATTATCTCTTTTCATTTCTGGACATCTTCATGAAAAGAGCAGATTTTCATGCTTTACAGAAATGAGAAAGTTTGTATCCCGTTTCCATGGCAACCGAGGTTATAATTCAAAATTACTTCTACATTTCACAATCAATCACACATTTGTTTAAAACTATGATAGAAAAAATCCAAATCTTTAACTATGAGTTGCCAACTAATTTTGATAATTACGGAGAATTGGTCTTAAAATGCTTATCTACAGAGACTTTAGAGAATAACTTTAGCTCCTTGTAATGTATAATTTTATTAACGTTATAAGCTCAGTAATATTGCTATGCATTAATTAAGATCAAAAACTACTATTGTTTTAAGTTCAACACTATTTTTTTAATATTTACCAAGTCATCATATCTAGACGAAAATAATCAAATCTGTGAATGAGTGCATGTCAAATGTGGATTTATTTTCTTTGTTGCTATGGGGAATTTTCTGTTGCCATGGCGATTAGTATTTGCAAAATATTCCTGAATTCATAAAGAAGTCTCAAAAATATGTTTTTACTTTAAAAATTGATTTTGTTATCCACCGATAATATTTAATTCCTTAAATAACTCGCATATTTGACAATTTGTCTCTTTCTCTTAATCAAAACATCCATTTTTGTTGCTAGGCAACCGATTGTAAATATTAAAAAACACACGTTTTTGAATTTAAATTGCAAAAAGGATATTCCTCTGCCTTTATGTAAAATATACCATACTCTTGTATTGTGCCAGAAGTTTGAGATATATGGCCTTGAAAATTGCCCAAATTAACAAAAATGCTGAATCAGCAAAAAATGCAAAACATGCATATCTTCCATTGCCCGTAAAAGAAATATCTTAAAATAAAAATTCTATGTATTATATGGTTTTATCACTTGAAATGTTTATTCTTATGATAACATTATTTAAGAACCCCTCTTGTAATATTCACATCCAATTTCAAGCCTCTAAGTTTAGTGATATATTTGCCCATCCACATTGAAAATTGACCGGTTGCTAGGGAAAATTTCTTTGGCCATGTTTCCATAGTAACCAGGACCCAAAATAATTTTCATTTTACATAAGTGGTTCATAGTGTAAGAGAAACCTATGTGTGTAAAATCATCCAATTCTGAGAACCCTCATGATTCACCTTTCGTCTGATTCTTACAGAGACCTGTACTTAAATAAACATAAACTTTCAAATTCGGCACCGCTCTCAAATTCTTTTTCATTTTTAACAAAACGTTACTAAAACTCTTTGGTCAACACATTATCATCAATTTTATGACGTAAACCAGATCATTGTGACGTCTACTATACTCTCGGGAGTTTTCTTTAAACGAACGATAAATTTTGCGGGAAAATGCACTAAGTATCCGAAGAGGTGGAATATGATGAAAAGCATGCTGACGGCCGGGAAATATGAAGTTTTACGGCCCGATCACGTGATATCTTAGAACCAAGCAGATAACACGTTGTTTAGAATATTTATAATGAGGTATAATACCTATTCTTATATGCATTTATGTTTAATTTGTCTTATTTATATATAAGGTGATGTTGTGATATAAAAATACAAAAATATTAAAAGATAAAAAGATTTGGTCGTTTAATATGAAAGGGAATATACTTTTTATTGGTGCTTTGCTAAAACCGGTTCTTAAATTGGAAGCTTTCATAAACTTACAAGTTAATAGTTTGTTTAGAAATTTATATCTATTTGATGTAATTGAAAATTTTAGTCCATATTCATAAATTTCAGTCATTTTAGGAAATTTCTTTTAATCTTTGATTGCTTAAAAATCTAACTTAATTAATTTTGTTTAAAGGAGGTATTTTCATACACCGCCGTTCCGACCAAAAATATAGTTCCTGCAGTGCTAGATTTTAAACTTTTACCATTCCTATTTTAAGTTAAACAATTTACGGGAACGAATTAAAAATAGGATCTTTTAAATCTTTTACATGTTAATTTACAAGTCATATAAGTAAATATACTTTTAAAATTTAAATTAAGGCAGCAACTAAACACCTCCTAAACACCATATACCCAGTTTAACTTTTATTTAGAAACCTTTTCAAAACAACAAAACAAAAACATGTTTTAAAAACAAAAGCATGTACATATTTAAAAAAACAAAACTTTTAAGTTATTTAATTAGTACATGTATAATTTCAAAAAAAAAAAATTAAAACGTTACGTACGTTTATATACAATATTGCCATTCTAACAGTCAAATGTAGGGCACTAATAGATAGCATGTTCAGTATATATGTATATGATTATTTATCATGGACATTGAGATTTTATCGATCATTATTTCCTTAGAAGAATATATGTATATTTAATTTGTATACATATATGAATAACTTGCAAATTGTATTAATGGTATAATAAATGCTCAAATCACTTAATTTGTGTACTGCTGTGAATTCTACAAAAAATGAAATTGCTTTAATAAACATGTCCTAGAAATTTTTCTCCGTATTTTAGCTTAATATTGCACTATGTTAAACAGTTCTTTTCTTTAATTATTCAGAGACTTTAAACTACTCTAGAGATATTGTGTACCTGTAAATAAATAAGTTTTGATTAATATTATTGTAATTTGGCAAACATGACAAATAGGCCGGAGCAAAAATTTAATACATACAAATTGATCTCCAATACAAAAGAAAGACAAACTGCCATTTTACGTTTTAAAAGAAAATATTATAAAAAAAATATATAATTTTCATATGTACAAATCGTAAAAAATATTGTTTGTACATTAATATAATAACAAATACAAGAACAACAATAAAAACAAACAAACATTTATATATATATTTACAGTGAATATTTATGAATACTGGCCATATGACATGCAAAACCAAGTAGTCTGAAATTATAAAAAAGGGCTTATGATGGACAAATAATTATCCATCAAAATAACAAATAATATGAATTACCAATATACATATAGGATGACAAAGGCTGTTGATTGACGTGCATTGTTCTTCAAGAAAAAAAAACCAATATAAACAATCAAAGGGGTTTAAAACCACATTCACACTCTCGGCATTGGTCAACATTGCTTAAAGCACAAATAAAAGCCAAAAATTGAAGGGAAAATCAATTGTAATCTGAAATGAAATGTTTTCAATTTGACATATATCCAAGAAAAAATAAACGTAGAAGGTTTGTAAATTTTCGGAAAAAAATCTTTTTTTTCGAATTGTTTTCGGAAATTTTTTTTTCCAATTGTTTTATTTACTTTTAATTCTCTCGAAAATATTATATACAGTAAAATTTGTTAATTGAGAAAGTCATTTAGACTTCAATTTTTGCTTTCATATAACCGAGATTCTCTTTATCTTAATTTGAAACAACAAAGTGGAAATTTTGCTACAGTACTCATAAGGAATCTCGAGAACCAATTACATGTACTTCATAATTAAGTTTCTCTGTAACCGATTTTACAGTATCATGTTATCAATTTACATTTGGTATATTGTAAAAACACTCTTGTTATTTTTTATTTTTTTACACAAAAATTGAATTCCAAATGGATAGCACCCAAAATTGTTTTAATTATTAAACAAAAGAAAATCATCTGTGCACAAACTCTACTGGATGTATGATGGGAGAACTAAAATGCATGATTTTAAATTAGAAAAATTGCTAGTATTAAAAATAGTACTTAAAATAAACTTAAAAAATAAACCTTCTGAATATCGTCCTTTTTGAAAAAAAATGGCAATTTACCTATCATTTATAAAAATCGATCGATCTTATTGTTTTAATTTCTCAAAATTAACAACAAGTTCAAAAACACTTTAAATTCTTATGAGTGGTTGCATTAGTTTGAATGTAAAGGATCGCAACTGTGGTCTTCATATTCAAGATTAGTTGCTGGATTTACTTGTTGAATACCAAAATATGAGATGTCACTCCTATAAGAAATCTCTGTATCTCTCAGCAGTCTTACATATATCGCATCATCGCAGTAGAACTTGAAGGTTCCCTGAGTAAGGACTGTGTCGACTGGTTTACGGTTTATAGTATGGTAAGAGCGACCTCTGGAGGGAATAACATATGTTATGAAATACTAGTATGAAGATAAAGGGGACAGTAATATAGCTCAAAAGTCCATTTAACGAATACAAATCAGTAGCAAAGCAAAAACAGAAGACCCTTAAAAACATGAAGGTGGGATCAGATGTATTTCCTGTTGACCTGTCACACCCGCCATGTGCTCCTTGTTCTTTAAAATTCAGTATGTAAATAATGGCCTAAGAATAATAGGACACCGGACAGTATTCTACATAATGATAGATTGTTTATGCTGGCAAGGTCATTCTATCGACATTATGTACAAGGAGAGAAAACAGTTTGGCTAACTTGTTCCATACCATTTGTCAGGCCTTTGTTTTCATAATAAAACTGTATGAAGTGACACACGAATTCATGTCCACCACGAAATGTAAAGTATTAAATACATAACTACTCAACAATTCTTCATCCACGAATTAATCCAAACCGAACCAAGAGTTTTTACTCAATGTTCACTTATTTGTTTTGTTTATAGGATTTTTTTCCCGACGAAAATATGTGATTTTACAGTAAATTACGGATAGTTCCGTTTACCTGATTGATAGAAAGGGCTCATTGCGGGTGTGACCTGTCAACAGGGATGTTTACTACTCCAAGGCATCAGATCCCAAACCTGGAATTTCCACGGGTCCGAGTTTTATGTCCTGTTCACTTATTTGTTTAAAGATTTCAATTCATTATGTTTATACAAAACTCTTGTGAAGATCATATAGTACCTTTGATCCTGGGTGACAATGCCTTTTGATAGAGTATTTTCGCGTAGTCCTCGAACCTGCACAATCTCAAATCCTACGGTTGGGTCATAGCTATTGCTATAAAAATGAATTAATTTGATAAATGATTGTATTTTCGTGTTCGTCTCAAATCAATATATAAAATCTAATGAATTGAAGAGTTTAAAAAGAAATGTTTAATACATGTAAGATACATAATTGTATTTTATACCTCAACTCTGGCCCACTAATTGCAAGTTGTGCATAAACATTATATATTCCCGGGCTGGTAATTTTTATTGCTACAGGCAAGTTGTACCCATCTTTAATGAAATTGAACGAGTCTCTGAATTCTTCCAGCGGATTGTCCCATCTCAAACAACCTGCGTTGCTTGAACAATTAGCTAAAGACAAAATTATACAAATGAATGTATTTTGTTGGACTACAAGAGATTATCCACCTCCATTTATGTTATTGAGTTATTCTTTTATTATATGGATGTCTCACCAATGTTATCTACCCTACTGTACAATAACGTACTATCCATGGTGTTACTCATGGCCAGATGCACCACTCTCTTTAAAATGGCAGCTGCATGAAATAAACGAAAACTTCTAAAAGAAGCATCCTTGTTTTAAAGAATAAACAGGAAATATAAATTCAAAGCAATGTATGGATAGAAGGATGACTGTAATTCTCAAGAAAGAATAAAGCAGAATTTAACCATATGAATTTAGAAGGCTGGGGGTCAACAAATTAACCACAAATTAACCACCAGATTTAACTTATTTTTTTTTGATGCGGTATCTTAAGCTGTCAAGTATCAATTGGCAAAGAAAAAATTCATACATTTTAGTTTTAAAATTTGATCATTTTTATATATCTTTATATAGAGCTCTCCTTTAAAGGAGATCGAAATAGTCTGAAAATGGCTGCCACCCCCAGCCTCTTTATTGAAGCGTACCTTTAATGATCTTAATGGTACAGTTAAGCTCTGCAAATCGGTTTTCAACTGCTGTAACTCTTCTCCTTAACCCTGAATAGAACAACAGATAAGTCCTTTTACAAAATGTATGTTTGTGTCTCATCATTGAGAAATTTATTACAATTCAAAATATACCTAAAGTAAACTTTTGTATAGAGTTTTTTTAAAGAGGTTTTACCGTTTGAATTCCAGATACGAAAAATAATTATTTTCTGTAAAAATTATATTTCCGAAAATTTTACTTTTTGAAGCACATGTGCCCTTCATTTTTTGTCGGAAATACCTTTTATTTCTTTTTTTAATACACCATCACAATTGTTGTGGGTACAAATGATTTTTGTTCAATGGGCTAAGTGTTTCCAGTCCCTCAACCTAACTTTAACTTGGGATTGGAAAAACAATGGATGTGATAAAAATCACATCTAACCATAAACCAATATATTTTTAGCACGTTATACATGGATAGCTATTGCATGATTTTACATCTTTGTTAATAAATGTAACTTATTCGACCGCCAGTATCATGTAAAGGTATTGTGATGTCATTTGAAGTAATAATTGATATAAAAAATAATATAGGACCAAAAGTCACTGCATTAAGGATAAAACATTTTCAAACAAGTTATTTACATAAGATAATTTTCGTAATTTTCATTGGCAGAAAAAAACTTCACGTGATTTCTTCCTTCTTTGATACATACATTTTAGCGCGTTCGCGGAATATAGTATCACATGAATCACACTTGAAGAGATCTTACGAAAGTACTGTACATGTGACATCATTGTGTTGGAAGCATGTTTTACCACTGTCATATTATAACAGTCAGCTAGGATTGCGGCATATTATTTACTTTAGCATCTTTATAATATCTAAATATGGACTTCAGTAAACAGTTAATTCTTGTCAAGTTGTATTGACCTAGATACAGAAAATGTTGAGACTTTGCAATCTCGGTGATTATTTCATTATAGGTCTTCAGTCAGTATTGATTGACATAAGTCCCAAGAACTGTATGTTGACTTGCATTGAAGTCTATAATTTTTTATTAAGTAAAAAATGTTTTTGATATGATGCATTCCAGTTTATTTGTATTGTATTTGCTTTTCCGGTCATAGAAATTGCCTTAAAATCTCCAGAATGATTATATAACAACAAATTTTCACTTGCATTATGTAGGAAACTGCTATTTTATTTATGTTAAATAATATTTGTTTATTTGATTTTGTTTAAGGAAACAAAGCACCAAGGACACAAGCAGGAAATAAAATTATATCCTACTTAGATTTCCTATATAACATTTTGATATTGACCCAGGTAGAGATAAGTATACATGTATTACATGTAAAGCGTCCCCCTTTTAACGATTTCCTCTTTCTAATTAAATATTTTCATACTCATCCTATTACTGCGACGTTCCCTGAATAACAGTGGTAGGGACATACTCTAAAAGAAAATATTTCTTTAATATTATCAGTAGATTTAATGGTTAACAAATTTTGGAGGAATATTGTTCCAATTCATTTTAAAAAGAGAAAGATGAATCAAATTTTTTAAAAAAATTCAAGTACCTAATAAGTTTTGAATTTTGCATAGTAAATAGTAAAGTAAAATAAAAGCAAGAACTTGAAAAACACGAAATTAATATTTCATTTAATAAGGTTACATTCTAAATATAAAATGGTATAAATAAAAACACTCATAATACAAACAATACCTTAATCCTGTTATTTTCCGTTGAGGAATTTTTCATTTCATTAAGCATTTGTATTTTCTTTTCCCTATTCTGTGTGCATCCATTCAATCTTACTGAAAGCATGTAAACTTGATACTGCAAAGAAATATTCCAGATAATAAGAATGCATATTGCGCAAGACAGTAAGATCAAAGCCCTTTTGCAACCCGCATGGCTACATGAATAAACACTTGAACAATTAGGTTTTTTCTGTGCAAACATGTACTCCATTTTTGGGTTTGGATTTTCCCTTCTCAATTGTTTCACTTTTTTGCTTTAACTCTCGAACCCTATGAGAATGTAGGGAAATGATAGTCTTTCTAAAGAGACAGAGGACCGCCTCACTCTCCGCCCCTCTGTTCAAATGGCATAGCTATTTATGAACTTTGCAATCTCAAAACATATAGCTTTTTTACAAATTAGTGAACAACATGACTTTGCAAAAATATTGACTACTATGGTTTTTTTTTCAGTTTGCAGCTGCACATTTGTTGTATCACTTAATGAAGGTTTTACTTAATAAAGTCGAGAACATCAGTACTAGAGAATTGTAATTTACAACTACGGAATGGCTTTTCTCTATTTTGCAAAAACGAACTGCAGTTCTTTACATACTACATTTTGGAAGGTCATATCTTTTTTTTTTTTTTTGAATACGCTTTATCAAAAGTTTCCAATGTTTGGAACTTGCATGTTATGGGAAAAATATATGGCTGTAATGCCCATTTTTGGGTATTAAAACTCTTTTCAGAAGGTTGTTTGAATTATTTTGTTTACAAAAACCTTTTAAAACAAACATGAACCACTTTCTTTGCATACAATACACACATGCTGGTCATGGCTAAAATACGCACATTCAGAAGTCATAAAATAAAGAACTTGCATATACATGTATTCTATGATATAGTGAAAGCAAATCTGTGCTAGTGGTGCAATATGTGTATTTGCCTACCAAATGTTTCTCGAACGAATGTTCATATTCTTTTGTATACAAACAACTTTTATCAGTAAAGGTTACAAAAATGTAGGTGACCCAAAGAACCGTATTTGAACGTAGATTGAAGGTCCTTTATTGAAACTGTAAACAAAAAAGATTTACAAGCAAATGAGTTTGTTTTATTAGTCCGACAAAATAGAAAATGTGTGGTTTATTTTACATCTCGTATTTTTTTAATATTGTATATAAAGCACCACAATCATTAATTATTCAACAATATTTGTGGCAACATCAGTACAGTATGAAGTTACATGTTTACCCCAAATGAAGAGTGAAACCTTAACAGTTATAGTCGGTATTTAAAGAATTATTGCGGCATATCAAACACTACATTTTTTAAAAAATCCTCTTTTGTTACATTTCCTGTAAAATACTGTGATTTCATCATTGGTATCAATTTTCGTCTTTTTTAATACAACAGACATTTTCAAGGATATACCTAATTTCGTGGACAAAAGCATTGCCTAATCAAATGAAAAATATATTTCTTATTTCAATGGCTAATTTCATGGATCTGTTCAACAACGAAATATAACATCACAATTACAGTGTTAAAATATCTGTTTTTAGAAATATTCGGTTACATTGTAGTATCGACAATATTAATGACATCGTCATTGCTGTTAAACATAATTTTTAAATTCAAAAACATCAAGTATTTGTATACCTTTTTTGAATAAAAAAACATTTGGTCTGTTTTACACTATTATGTACTTAGCTTGAGCAGTATTGGGTTGATAGGTTGAGTTTAATTTGGAAATATGTTCACATAAATGAGGTAAATGATTTTTTTAACTAAATAACTAAAATAGAGAAATATATTTCTCCGGTTTTGGCCGGCATATGTGTTTTTTCCGGTTTTGGTTGAATTTGCAAGATATATTACCGGTATCTCGATCATATTCTGGCAAAATCGAAAGAACTGAATAATAATAATAATAAACGGTACTGCTGATATTCCCATCTCAAAAACTTTTTTCTCAATTACTTTCCTCGTTTAGAAATTGTTTATACGAAAATATTTCAGAACTGCGTCTTGTGTATCGAATCAACTGGGAGATATAAACTCTATATTTGGGTGATAATGGTATATTGGTACATGTACATAAATAAAGGCGGATGCCAAAAGAAAGTTGATAAGAAAGTTGTTATTATAGGTTTTCAGTAACGTCTTCTTCTATGAAAATAGCTAACTATGAATCAACTTTTTAAAACTATTAATAAACGGATTTACCACTCACTTAATTTAATTTTTCAATTAAAAAGGCCACAGCAAGTGATTTGATGTAGAAGTTTTTGAGTAAATTATGTGTCAATTAATTAAAACAATGTATCTGCTCATGAAGGGGTACAAGTTAAAACAAAAATATATTTTATTTTGATCTCTTAGTATATATGTATGTCCCAAATCAGATTTTTAATACCCAATTTAGAACATTAGTGTATCAATCAGAATGATTTAACAAATTAAAAAGAATTGACAAATAATAATAAAAATGGTACGTTTTGATGTTATTCCAATAAGTAGAAATAAATTTCATAAGAGGTTGTTGGGACTTTTTTTTTAGGTATCCACATCTGATTACCACACTTCTCGGCTATTGTTCTGCAGCACTCCGAAGGTTTTCCATCGACTTGAAATGGATAATTATGTCTGTAAATGCGTTGTTTCTGCACCCGATGCGTTTGTGATCTGTCAAGAGGGGATGCTTAACCACTTGATCTCACCTCTAGAACATCCGGGGTTTTTGGCGTACTTAGCAGATTTTCACTGCTTATAAATTACATGTATTTTAGACCGATAACTGACGTTTTGTTGTTATTGTTGGGTTGTATATATTTATATTTTTCTTTTTCTATAATATCTATTATATGTTTTTGTTTTCGAATTCTTTATTTGAATGTAGACCCCTTACAAATTAAAATACCTGGAATTTATTTTTAAAAAATCATAAAAGTCATGAAATATTTTTTAAAAAAATTAAATAATTTTAAAATATAAGAGAATCGCCTGTTTGAAAATTTATTCATTAAAACAACAATAAAAACAGTACAAATAATGTTTAAACTATATAATTGATATTTACAACCATTACAAACCGTAATACATACAGTATAATGATTTATAATTTTATAGTTATACTAGTATTAAAATGCCGTATTTACAAAATGAAAAAGTGAGGTAGAATTTAAGTATTTACATCTAATAATTTCACTTCCATTTTCCTACGAATCTTTCACAATGAGATCGAGTTTGACTTTGCCATTTAATGAAATTTATATGACTGAATAATTTCTCAAGAAATGTGGAAGTGCTTGTCAAGTGAATTCCTTTAACAAAATACGCTAAACAGCAAATACAACTCCTTTTTTGTTGAAAACTCCAACTTTAATCAGTCCAAAGAAAGAAGCATTCGATGTAAAGACAGCTCGGATCCCAGCTTTAGAAATATGTCTTATTTCAATTGTATCACCTTTATCTAGTTTCACCATTCCCATGGTAAAGCAGGATGTCTTGTCTTCGTCATGCAACATCATGTTATTTGAATAACACGCTAGAATAGGAGACTTATCGTTTCTTATGACGTGGTAACCGTGTGTTCCATTTCCCTTTAACGTTATCTGTAATAAGAAGCCAGCACCTGTTTTAAGTGCTAATAAACAATTGGCAAAAAATATTCCCTTATATATCAATAGTTTTAATAAAATATATTTTTAAAAAGTTAATATGAAAAGGGTTAATTTTTAAAGTTTTTAAATATTTGAACCTAATCAAACATCATTTAAAAAATGCATTAATTCTAGCATTACAGCTAGAAATTTTATTAACCATAAGTTGCCATTTGCTAATCAGCGACTGTTTTTTGTGTGTGTAAGTTTTGATTGATAGATTGTATGTTTTTTAAGACCCTCTCGAGAATTATTTGTTAGTATGTGTAAATGTAAAACAATGATTATAAACAAGATCGACCTTTTTAAAGTGCCTCAGAATGCCTGTACTGGTAATACTAACCTGTGAATACAAAAGATAGAGCCCAGATTGCTTCACTGTCAGTTTTCCATTTGGGAAGTTTAGTTCAAACTGTTTTTCTTTTGCTTTATGGGGTTGATTGAAAAACCAGTCTGCATATTCAAACTTGTGGAATGTTCCTGAAAGATTTTCTGTAAATGAAGATCTTCCTTTTAGATAGAATGACAAAAATGTGATTTTATTTAAATTACTTGAAACATTGATACTTTGAGAAATCATGAGAATGTGTTTCAAAAATAAAACAAAATTAAAATTGTAGCGAATTATGTTGCAATGGACCAAAAACAGTGGGATTTTTTCACAGGTTATCACTAATTAAATAGATTAGTTTGTACACTAATTAAGTAATAAAGGAAGTTTTTTAAAATAAATTAAAGCAAAACAAATAGGAAAAAAGTATTAAAAAATTATCTAAAGCTATTACAAATTACATTCGCTCTTGGTTTCTAAGAACACTTTTCTTCATGCATCTAAATATTATCGAATAAATATGCAAGTTCTTTCCCCAGAAATAAAAAGAAGACAAAACATAAAGAAAAATGGGCATCCTTAAAAAAAAAAAAACTTAAGCTAACTTTGACTTTAATATGTGTGATTTTCATATTTAAGGCATGTATTACCGTCGGTATGGTAACCGCCTCTCCCAGATGAATGCAAAGCGGGAAGCACAACACTCTAGAAAAATAAGGGTGACAAGATTGTCACAACCAGTTTATCATAAGCCATTCACTATTCTAGCTTTAATGCACACATCTAAGTATAGATCCCCCTGCACAGTAGCCATGCATTGTTTTAAGGAATTTGCGTACAAGAAAATGACTTCACAATGTGGCATTACCATTAGGTCTATGTTCGTCCTGACACCCAACCACCTGCAGCCCTGTTAACTACAAAAGGAAATATGACTAGATTTACCGTAAGCCCAGTGGTCAACTGGTTCATTGTTTATTTCTACCATGCCCTCAACCTGGATAGCTTCTACAGTCTACAATTAGAATTAACTATATAAAATTTCAGGATTGCAGCCCCGAGAGCTCAGATTATCCCATGTTTATTAATTAATTTCCGTGTTGAATTTGTCCCTGAAATTTTTTATGTGTGATCTAGCATACATGTAAATATATCGACCAATAACAGATTTACCTCGTACTTGAGAGTAAATATTTAAAATATAATTCATTTTGATTGAAATTTAATTAAAATAAATAATTTTACCTACCCGACAGATTAACGTGAAATACGAAAACATCTTATATTTTAGAATACAGATAAATACTACCGGTAGGTTTAAAGCAAAAAATAAAAATTGAATAAATAGAATTTGTATCACTGACTATTGTTTTGACCAAAGAGAAAAGGCCATTACCGTGACAAAATCTTTATTTTTCAGCACCTTTAATCTATACCATATTCACAGGCTAAGAAATCAAAAATTTCATATAATATTTAACTTTCAATTAAGAGGTATCTTATTAATAAATTGTACAACTAATTTTTTTAATTCCTTGTGATGAAAGTAATATAATACAGTATCAGCATTTTTATACATAAATTTATCAGGTTGGTTTGAAAGTTTGTTGTCTGAAAAAATCTATTTCGTGTCTACATAAAATATGAGTAGCCTAGATATAAATTATATAAAAATATGAACCAAATGACTTTAACACAAAAGGTTTGCACTAACAACTTTGAAAAAGAACAACACATGAAGACCCCACCTACTAACAATATGTAAGTTGATATCAATAAATTAGTAACGGCTATGCCCGTGTAAAAAAATACAAGGTCATTTAATTGTTTTTATAAAATGACGCAGCAAAATCAGTAAAAATAGAGAAATATTTGATTAATTGCTTCCATCTATAGTTTCTCAGAATGACAGTTCTAAAAAATCAATAAGGGCATATATAATATCTCTCGATGACATGCATTTGAAAATTTGTAAAATATCTCATACTTGACGTTCACTTTTATTTTGAATCATGTGATTCATTGACTCCTTTCAAATATATAAAGACTTGGATTCATAGTTTCCAGAATCAATTATTGATACGTGTGTTATCACACAAATGTTATGCGTTTCCTATGGAACATTTGAACGCATTGCAGAATCAAACGTTGGCATTTATAGGTTGGTGCTTAAAGACCGTTGTTTTGCATATTTTCTTAATATTTCATGCTGATTATCTGTACATATAGTTACTTTTATTTTAATTGTAAATTTACACCTTTTTACCTTAAATTTTAAAATATATTGTGTACTCTATTTACATATGATATATTTGTCATCCTATCTAAAGTACTAGTACTTCTACCCAAACATTATTATTGTCGCCTTTCCGTATACGAGAATAAAGAATAAGTTTTAAGAACTTGTGCCCAATCCCATTGTGTATATTATTACAAATAAAACATGTTTAATTCAATAAAGAATGCAAGCACAGCATACAAAATTTCAGCTATATTCATAATCATATTTACTCTTAATATAAGCTGACGTAGTGAAATATTATAATACGTATCAATACAAGTTTTTCAAGTTTCTAAATGCATAAATTAAAGATAAACTACAAAAGAAATAAACGAACTATCATTTTCATAAAAAAATCTCATTTCTTGATAAATGAAAATTGTAAAAATATAAACGAGATTATAGTGTAAATAAAATTGAGAACCATGATTGCTCAAAGTATCTTGAAGATGTGAAGAATAAAGTTTCAATAAAAACTACTGAGTATTAACAAAATGCTTATATTTACCCCTGGGAAAATCAGGATAACTTTCGCCCCCTGTCCCTTCTATATGCACAGCATCGATCTTAAAAATAACCAAAATATGTGTTTCAAAAGTTATTTTAAATGTGTTAGTGCTCATCATGTATGTTGAAGTCGTTTTTAAAAATATGATTCTATGAAATAAAATGTAATAATTAATTTACAGGAAAATTGCAAGATGTTGTCGTAATTGTGTTTATACATAAAATGTTATTGTGAAAAAAGGACATCCGATCCTTTAAAAGTCAGAACCAAGTGACACATTAAAATTTCATTCTCAAATAGTACTTAGCTGCAAAATACTCATAATTTATTAAACTAAGGATATAGGTAAAAAAAAACACAAATTAACTGTATATAAACATTAGATTTTTGTACATAAACTAAACCGATTCCCGTGCATTTGACAAAAGCACAGTTTACTTTTCTTGTCTCTTTCTTTTCAAATGATTATAATTATACGTAGAGTAAATACACAAAAATACAGAAAAAAATCTTTAAAAATAGAGGGAAAATTATAATTCTTTCATGAAAGAGATGTGCAATTCTAGCTCACATGAATATTACGGGGGAAAAAAATCAAATCTCATTATATACCATTGTTATGTATATAGAGCGCAGGGCATATCAAAAGATGCCGTATAGTTAAAATTTTGACAAGGGAAAACGGGAAAAAATTCAATATGATATTGCTAATACTGTTTAAATCCTAATAATTTTAATTTTTATTTTAATGGTAATAATTTAGCGCATCTGGCTTCACTTCTCTTGCACAGTTCACACACAGTTAAGTTAAAACATTATTCGAAATGGTACATGTAGTTTTCAAATTACGTTTACAGAAAATTCAAAATTACGTTTACAGAAAATTGGTGTCTGTTTTTTTTACTGAAAGAATAAAATTGATGTTTTTAAAGCAAAATTATAAAAACATAGGTGTGGCTCAATTCAAAATGTTTCTAATATTTAATTTTTTTCATATATATTCTTTTTAAATTTTTAAGATTTCGTTGATATTCTTTCCTTTATTCACCAGAACAGCACGGTAGAAATTTTTCTGCTTGTATGATATCATCTAATCATAAGAATAGTTTACATCACAAAAGAATTAATTGAAAGCACAAATTCACAGCTTAATTTGTAAACATTTAATGCAATAAAGTTAACAACATATATTTTAAAATTAGAGCCATTTTGCTAAAAGATGGTACATTTGCTAGCAAGTTCAAAGAGTACTTGACCCAGTCAAGAAGGCATGGTGACACAGAGGTATTATCTGATGTCCGAATTCAGTAAATTTCGTCAGGTATTTACATTCCATCAAGGGTACCATGGACCCTCAGGATATGAACGGAAACAGGTCAAATTTTAAATGCCCATCTCTGTTTTATACAGGTCTATTTTCAACTAGGAAGTTTATTTCCATTGGCTAGTAATTTAAACCAATTGAATCGTCGATTTATGTAAACATATGAAATATGATGGCTCTTCGAAATTGTTAGAATCGATATATATTCAATACATATAAAGTTATTTCTGCTCAATATTAAGATCAAATTTTATTTTAAAAGTTGCAAAAAAGATGCATTCCCTGACTTTTGCTGCTGGTGACAGGAACGTTAATTCCTGTAGTTTAAAACAAAATTATGATAATTATTGTGCAATTTAAAATGTCATCATTAAAATATAAACACGTCATTGAATCAATCTTTTCCAGCAAGCACATATTCCTGGAATTAAAAGTATGAAACTGGAAGTTATGTAGATCTTGATGATAACACTAAATATTAAAGTCGATCCCATGCAATCAAAATAAACATAGGGTTTCTGGGAAATTAAGGATTGGGAATTATATTTATTAAGTTTCAACGATCGCTCTTTATTAACAGCGTGGAATCTGACCATTTCAATACAAGCCTAAGGTAATTCTAATTTAATTTAACAGATTTTCAGTTTGATTAAACGAATTTTTCATTTGAAGAAGAGCTTATATATGCTTAATTAAAAGATAAATTTATTTGTTAAGTAGAAAAAAAGGCATATTTTTTATTGACATATAACTAAATACAAGAAAATAGTATTTTTAGACAATTGAGCAATCATGGTCACCCTGATAAATGATAAATTCATTTTTTTTTAAATGATGTATAAATTAATTGATTGGAATTTTTCTCCTACCTTCCGCTTGCAGCAGGATTTATGCCTTTGTTTGTTTGGTTTTGGTTTCTTTCTTTTATCTGCATTTCGTTTTACCCGGCTTTCGAACAGCATTTCTGTCAGGGTAGAAGTATGGAATACTTCATTCTTCAAACTCTCAGGCTGAAAAAATATATATGTGATATGAGAGAGAGAGAGAGAGAGAGAGAGAGAGAGAGAGAGAGAGAGAGAGAGAGAGAGAGAGAGAGGATTAGTTCTAGTATCTTAATTAAGAACTTCTGCAACATTTCCTCATCAAACTGAAAAAGACATTACTCTCTCTCTCTCTCTCTCTCTCCAAATGCCCCTCCCTCAAAATATTTTTTTCTTGTATTTTAAGATATCCCTGTACTTTAAATAATGCTTTCATTTAAAGATTTAATTTTGACAGGCACTGAAATAAGTTTAATTTGATTACATCAGTAGGATTTTAATAGATCTCGTTTTATTGCTTTTAAACTAAGGTTCCCTGGTACGCTTTGAAACCTCAAGATTAACGCAGCATCTCTTATTATCTAGCTTAAATGTTTATGCACTAGTGATGGGTGCAACAGCACCAGAGAGTTTTGGTTGTTTCTGAAACAAGTGTGAGAGTGAAGGATGCTTTATACGTACACTTTACTGATGTAAGCGACAAAACGCTACGGAGAGTGTATTTATAAACATTGTATGTTACGGGGTACTCTGATTTGTTTATTTACATGACACTATGGAATTTGATGAAAAGAACAATTAGAAAGTCTGCATATTTATTTTTAAAGATTAGAAAAGAAACCCCATACACTCAAATATAAAATTCTTATTATTCCATTTCTAAAGCAACGGAGGCTTATCTTTTCAAAAAGCAATATGATTTTAAAGGAATGATTTCGCTAAGCATGAATTATCTATATTTAAACTTGAAAAACTAACTAAATATAGTGCAGCTTACCTTATGATGCGCTTCATTTGTCACCGACAAAGATTTGCTGCTAATTTCTTCAAGGTCTTGGACTCGTGCCTGCAAAGCATGGAGCTGCTTTACAATGTCCGAATCATTGCGATCGTTTGACCGTCCTAAGACAAAAACAATGACCATCAAGTTAATTACTGCAAAAAATACACACAATAAACATACACAAATGAAATATCTCTTCTGCACTTGTTTGCATTTTGGACACGTTTCTTGGCTATGATTGTCTATCGTGACAGTTGGTTCCAACCTCTGCAACTTGTATTCCATTCTGCAGAAATATGAAAGAATGAAATGTCTTAAAAGTTATTTCCGACCGCATCTGCTGTGGATGAGGCAATTAACGACGACATGCACGTAAACTCATCCTACAGTTCAGACATGCAGAGTTTAGCGCCATATTGTATACTTGACAGGGAGCTAAATATAAAATTATTGGCCGACATGTATCTAGAAAACCTTTGTAATAAGACAAGGGTGACCGATTTCAAAATAGCAGCATATAAATGGACGACCTTGAATTTATATCTATCTCATTTTGTTCCATATTTTTAAATGCAAATATATGTATTTTTCTTTATTTTAATATTTTTGTATCATTGTAGGTCACCCGTTTTCAAAAAATGCATATCTGCATGATTAAGGCCCCGTGTCTGTCAAAGTCCTGTGAGGTGAGTGAAGGAAAATTCATAAATAGTGACAATAATTTAACTATACTTTTCTTTTATTTCAATTCTAAGCATATGTTTACCATGTTCTTTATGCTATTTTTAAGGTGAGAGATAATGGGAATGTACTTTAAGGATTCGAACTGGATGGAAATTAAAGCATATGAGAAACAATTCCTCTACAGTTCCTAGAGAAGGGAGGAGAGCTATGGGTTCAATCAAACCAGATTGACAGGCGACAGTACCTTTTCCACGAACTGGAGAAGATTCTCGGAACTCTGTGTTGGTCCTAGTTTTTGGCACAAAACCTGGAGATGGCCTGGCGACCTTGTCACCTCCCAGTTCTTGTTGACATACTAATATAGAAAGCCACCCCTGTAATTATTTCAAGATATTAGAACAAGCAGGTCATGTAATCACGCACATACGAAGTGATTTTCCAGTCTAGATTTTTCGTAATATGTCAAAGTTTAATAAACTTTTTTGAATTGTTTCCAAATATGTGAAAATGAAAATATTTATTCTCAATAAGCAACCAAACCGATTTTTAATAAGAAATAAATAGAGTTATCTTTCTTGTGAACATAAAATTATTAAAGTACTTCTCTGTTAGCCAAATGAAAATGAACTCTCTGGATTTAAATTAAAATCCAAATAAGCATTTCATCTTAAAAAGAAAAAAATATTCTATTACAATTCAGGTTATTTTTAAATTTCAATGAAACAATTCACTTATAGAAATAATCAAAGAATATTCATGAAGGTAAATAAAAAGATACACATTCAAAATGAATGAAATAAATTATTTGTTTCCTAGTGAAAATGTGCAGATATATTTCAATGTGTAATGATATCCAACAAACAGAATATACATTATCTAATATTTATATATTACATTTATATATTTATTACAGAAAATTGCTTGACAAGAGAAGACAACCTTTGTACCTTACCTCTACAGTAAGTGTTCATAAACATCCAACCATCTCAAACCCAGATTCCAGGCAGTAACTGAAAGTAAGATATACAGTTTGTAACAGAAAAGAAATAACTAAAATACAGACTTTGCATTGCCTATGACTACTTCGAGTGTGTTAAATTCCGAAGTAAAAATTGGCAATCTTTTAAATAAGAAAACAATAGCATAAAAAGGTAATAAAGAAATTTCTCTGAGTAATATAATCATAAATTAAACATTTTCAACTTAACATACTAATATAGTATGCCAATTCAGTAATTAAAGCATACTCAAATCTGGTTTTAATTGAAAGTTAAATAAATCTTGATTTTTTAAGACTGGTCTTAATTGAACTGCATATTTTGATTACAGATGCCTCAAAAATTTCATATTATGAATGTAATTTTACACTAAAAAGGATTGTTATTTTAGTCCTGAAAAAATCTTGACGTTGTAGTTCTTGTTTGTGTGTTTGATTGTTTAGTTTTATTCATATATTTCAGGATAGGCCAGCTTTGTTGTGAAATGGAGCCAATTACCACAACACAACCTATACTCAGGTAGATTCTGAACAAAAAAATGTCTTAGAATTGATCTTTAAAAAAAATACATAAAATTTAACTTTATTTTCCTTATAATTATTTGTTTCACAACATAATGAAATCATATTAAGAGATTCCAGAAGAATCTAAAGTGATATCTTGTCCTTATATCTTTCAAACAAAATACATAAATACAGTACTTAACTTCCATTTGTATTTTATTTGTTTTCATAACATGGATTTACTTAGTCTAAAGAACTTGCATCCTTCCCTTTGTACATTAATTCCAATAATATGAACAAATCAAACCTAGTTTGTATATCATAATAATAGTAATCGACGAATATTTTTCCTCCATAAAAAAATTGCGTTTCTCAAAATGTATCTTTTTTTGAATCTTACCATTGTATTGAGATCATGTTTTTCTTTTGAGTATTCTCTATTCCTCAACAGCAAACGGTGCAGTTCCTCCATATCTTCTCTGAAAGAAATTAAAATGATCCTTTGTAGCGGATTTTTTTTAAAAAGAAGTTTTGTTTTTCAACGAAACAATGTCAATCAGATGCCATCGATGACAAGGAAAGGCAACTAGACCAGTTTAAATGGAGAATGTAAATGGTTCGTGATGCAAAGGCTGGGATTTGCACATCTCTATGTAACATAGACCAATTGACCAAGCAATATCCATTGTTTTGCCACAAACACGTGTGTATTTTGTCATTTCTTCTGATTAAGTGAAGCAAATTAAAATATGCACACCTTTAAAGCATAGTTTTGTAATTTTTTCTGTTTGGAATGGCTTCCTGAGAGCATTATTTGATTGGATAGCAAACTGGGTCAGAATTGTTTGTCATTAATTTTACTTTTTACTATTCTATGTTTAAATTTTCAACAATTTAGTTTTATGGATATATTCCCAAAAATGCGTTTAAGACTTAATAATAAATGACCTGATTAAGTTTTACTTACAGTGTAGATATCCTTCTTCTTCCCAGAGAAATTTTTGGCGTAATGAAGAAAATTGTGCAGGAAATGTTCTTTATACGTTAAACTGGACAGTACTCGGGTAAACCCCTTCTATTTATAGACTTTTGGAAAAGTCCATAATTCTATTTTTACATACACATCTATCTACCCCATGGAATTTTTGATCTATATAAATAAACTCTATATAAGTAGCATACTTTCCTATCCCTGCTCTGGATATTTCCTTGAAAAAACTCGAGTGTAACAATTCTTCGAAAACCAGAGTAAAGCACAGAGTGTTAGATAATGCAACAGTTATAAAAAGGTAAGTTTAGCAATGCACAAATATATTCCCTTTTAATTTTTACTATTACTAACCTTAAATTTAGGATATTTTCCTCACAAGAAGAAAAGTATAAACGAACTGTGTACTTTTTATTTAAGAAAAATGATTGTTTTCATGTCATGCATTCGCAAAAGGGCAAGGTAACAAAAAAGGCAAGTCAGCGGTTTTTATGGTTGTTGGGCAAAGGGCACGACACGTGTCAACCAAAAAAAAAGCTTTGAATAACTTTGCACTACCTTAATTAAAGTGGGTGAGGCTATAGGAGGAATATAGGCGAAAATGGGAAACCAACATCTACATAATGTATCTGAACAAGATTTTTAAAAATTGGACAAAATGGTCCAAAACATTTCAACTCGGAATTTAAAAACTTTTTTCTGTTTCTTATACATTTAGATATTGTGCTTGAATTTAAAATAGTGAAAAAAAAAATAGATAAAAAGCCACAATACTTTACTTTTTGAAAAAAACTTTATTTATAACTGTGAAACTGGTCGTCACTAGAATTGCATACCGGTAGTTCTTGTGAAATGCAAAATTATACTATTACTAACTTTATTGAAATCGGCACGACACATCAAAACATCAAAATTCATTAAAATATGTATACAAAATTCATCAAGAAATGTAAAGGTACTGAATCTATGTATATATAATCGCTTATAATTGATAAATCAAGCTTTTCGTATTTGACAGGCTCGTTTTAAATGGTTTCATTCCATTAAAAAAACATAGAGGTTCTTTCGTAGCAAAACTTTAAAATGCCATTTCAACTTGCAAAAAATGTGTTGTAAATCTCATTGTTAACAATTATTATTTATGTAAACTGTATTCTTAATTAATTTGTTTTTATTAAATACATATGTGCGTGCTTTTTCTCCAAAAAGCCTTATAATATTTGGAGGAAATGAATATTATTAAAGCTTTAAAGTCCATTAAAACAATACAAATCAGTAGTAGAGAAAACACGGACCTCCAACACATCAGAGGAGGGATCAGGTGCCATGGAAGAGTGAGCATCCCCTGCCGACCGGTCACACCCGCCATGTGCTCCTAGTCATGATCGGGGAATAACGGGAAAATCCGTCGTCAATTCAGTGCATAAATAATGGTCTAACAATTAGTATGAAAAACGTCAGTCAGCATTTGACTCGATGATAAATTGTATTTGTTGACAAGGTCATTGTATTGACCATAGAACTTACGAAATGATGAAATGGGAGCAGAGCAAACACGTACGGACCTCCAAATTATGAGAGGTGGGATCAGGTGAGATAGATGGCTAGGCATGTCCTGCTGACCGGTAAAATCCACTGTGTGCTCCTTGTTATGAATGGGAAATAACAGTAAAATCTGTAGACAATTTAGTGTGTAAAAATTGTTTAATTAGTAGGCAAAATTAACGTTCAGTCAGCATTTGACTTAATGAAATATTTTTTGCGTCTCGGTCACTTTATCGACCAAACAGCTTGCGATTTGGTGACTTTCAACGAGATTGTCCATTTTCTTTTTTCATTAACTTGTTTGTCAATAGCTTGCCTCATTATAGAAATTGCTCGTACGTAGAGCATGCGATTATGAACTACCTCTGATATTTAAGCGGTTTGTATGATTTGTATACTTTGATTGGACTATTAAGCTTGAACAATGTTCATAATATTTTGTTAATAGAAAAAAACTAGTCAAAAATGTATCGCCTCTTTATAATCACGGACTATTTCACTTTAATCTGAAATAAGAATAGGACACAAAATTAATTTGTCGGGTTTGATTAGTTTTTTAAAAAAATTTTTAGGGAAGTTTTATGCTAGATTTTTTTCGAACTGGTATAAAGATATGCTGATCTAGAATAAAAAAAACTTACAAGTTTCGAATATCATAAATACCAAATAAAGAAACATTTAAAATATAGTATAAAAACTAAGACAAATAGTTAATGCTTAACAGTGTCTTTAAAATATGTGTCTGGAAGTACATGGTTATAATAGTGTTAATATAAGTAAACTAGCCTAATATTTTGCGACGTACTCGACTTCAAGTTTACAGATTTGTTGGAATGCATTCTCAAACTGCAGGATAAAAATAATTTGCACCAGTCAGAGTGTACTTTTCACGTAGGTGTCATTAAAATTTAAAAGCCTATTCGACATTATGATACTCAACTATTATTAAAGTGATTTACTTTATGCGATAAAAGCTGACACCCATCCAACTTTGCAATGAATAGCTGGTTGACATTTAAATTGGAATTCATCCAAAAATCAATATGCGTTGCTCCTGCTTTCACGTCAAATTGTAAACGGGTTTTTCATCGTCAGATCATAAGGGTCACATGGTGGGAATGACCAGTCGAAAGAAGGTTTGCTTACTGCTGCAGGGCACCTGATCCCACCTCTCATGTCCTAAGAGGTCCATGTTTGCTCATTTACAATTTGTATTTTTTCAATAACTTTTATATACCGGGTATATAAAATGGAACCATGTACTTTACTTCTATAAGCATTTAATCAGCAAGCCTGTTGCATCAACATGCATTTCATTTACAGAGACATGAAGACGCTACACACTTTGAAATTCTTTAATGTATCAAAATATATGTTGAAATGGACATCAAATAATCTGTACGAAGCAACTATTCACAAAACACAATTCACATGACAATTGTTATGGAGAATATGTACATTTATGCGTTTGAAATGTAAGGTGGACATTCTATAAATGAAATCATTTTACTTTTGAAAATAATAAAATTACATGTACGAAACTAAAGAAATTTAAATAAAGTATAACTTCATATATTACTTAATATATTTAACGAATGATAAAAACAAGACGTTTAAACATTAAAAAAATGAACAATAACCCGTATATCTCTGCATTTTATCATATGATATATGTATAGGATATATGATATGAGATCAGTAGTAAAGAAATGTGACAAACAACTATGTTTTGTTTGTGCAAATGCACTCAAATATAACTTTATAATTGTTCCATCAGAAGTATTTACAGACTCAGAATTACATGTACTAACTTGATAAACTGTAAATCAGAAGTTCAGTTACATTCCAGTCTAAGACATTTCATCACGACTTATCAGACTCAGACACCTCAGAAATATCTGACATCTCAGTGTATCTGTCTGATAAGATGTGTTCTTATCTCAGAAACATCTGTCTAATCAAATAAGTTCTTATCTCAGGCATCTCAGAAACAGCTGTCTAATCAGATGAGGTCAGAAGGGGATGTTCACTGCTCCATGGCACCTGATTCCACCTCTGATGGTTTTTTAGGTCCGTGTTTGCTCTGCTCCTTTTCTGTATTGTTTTATGGACTGATATTGAATATTGTTTGTTATCTCCACATTATTCATCTTCGAAGGATTCAGACATTAACATACATTGAACTCTGATAAGCATAAAACATCAGTAATATTCATATATTTCAGGAATTTCCGAATTTTCATATTATACAATTTGAATAATTTAGCACATAATACCAAAACTACGAAAGAAAAACAACCCCAAAGAACGTCTTGTCTGGGCTAATTGTTACAGCCGTTTCTCTGGTAATCACTTTAATCTGAACTGTGTCCCCCTTCTTTAAATAATGCAAGCCCATCATATTGCACGTCTTCTCCTTTGCATTGAAGAAATCCGATATTTCATTTGGTTCATATTTGTCAATACTGTCGGCACAGTGAAAGATTCTTTTGTCCGAAACAAAAATTCCGAAGAATTCTCTAGGATCCTTTGTAAATTTCTCTATCTACCAAAAGAAACAAATTTTCTTTAAATCAATTCAACTTAATGCATGGTATCGATGCAGAAAAACTAATATAAGCTTAATTTTTTCCAGTCATTTATTCTCTAAAAAGGATTATGAAAACAGTTGTCTTTCAATCGCATTTCACTTTCACAGAAAATTAAATTACACTGGTTTTCAATCTTCTTCTGTTGTATTAAAATTTGATTATCCTAATGACCATTCCTCAAAAGGCCCGATAGGAAAGAACATGAGAATACTTGCAAATTTTGTAGAATATATTTCAATAAGATAAATTCTTGGTTTGAAAATTAACAATCTGAATTTGCATAAACATTATTAATATTATAGTAATGTTTCAAGTGAAACAATACACATAAAAATTCATTTTAAAATATGCACACATATATATTTTGGAAAAAAACCCGTTTATATAAAATAACTTTTAAAGATATATTTTCTTCATATATCCTTATACAAAATTAGGTTTCCATTCCACTTTTTAAAAATGGAGGTTATGCCATAATTTGGGTCTTTCAACAATCAGTTGAAATGTCTATGGGTACCCGTTATTAGTAGAATATTTTTGTATTCAAGCAAAATTTATCCAAAAACTTCATGAAAAAAAGTTCCTTGCTTTGGTCTTCAATTCAACATTTGAATATACCGATGACGTTTTATTAAGTGTCAATAATCATTTTCATTCTTACTTTGATTTGATACATGTCTTTGATTGATTGATTGATTGTATGTTGTTTAACGTCCTTTTGACATTTCTTAAAAGGAAGTAAAAGATACCACAGAGTTAGACATATATTTTTTTTATTTGAATATTTCACACAAAAAGACATTGATAGTAACCCAACAACAAAACTTTCAGATAAACACGATTAGTTCAACTTTTCTTTTGTCAGCTTGTCTTAATATTTATGTAACAATATATGCCATTATCAACTAAGGTGGACTCTATGCCTTTCAGTTGATGTGTATACTCCTCGTACGAACGAACTCTAAAACGACGCAAGCTACTAAGCATTGACAAATACGTTGACAAAACAAGGATCTCAACAGTCTCGTTTAAAGTCATCAGACTCATCAACATTATATGGTGGATACAATGCCCTTGTTAACAAAGGCAATCTATTATTAACGCGAATGTTGAATCATTTTTAAATAAAAAGTCGTTAGGCCATTGTTTTCGCACTGATTTACATTTGCCCTGGCCAGTCACGACAAGGAGCACCTGCCAGGACTGACCAATCGAGAGGAAATGCTTACTCCTCCATGGTACCTGACCCTATCCCTGATGGTTTAGAGGTCTTGGTTTGTTATGTTCCAAACTTGTATTGTTCCAATGAACTTTTGAGCTTAATTAATTACTATTCAATATCTACAAGTTTCATCAGTCTAGATTGTTTTAAATGAAAGCTGTCCATTAAGATAAATACGTGGTATTTAATGCACCAGGTTTAAACTGATACTTTGTTGGAACAAACCTGTATTCTTTGTAGCTAATGGGCTTTTACGAAGAGCGCTGACTTTTACAGTTGACGGCATACTTTTACACTAGGAAAATGCACAGAAGCTCTTTTACGATATAACATTAGCTCAACATTCAAATAAACGAGAATAACGGATTATTTCAATGCAAATATAAGTTGTCCATGATTTAGCTCAACATTCAAATAAACGAGAATAACGGATTATTTCAATGCACATATAAGTTGTCCATGAAAAAAACGACAACCAACCTACCCTCAACTCACGGCCTTCACATGCAAGTGCCCCTAACACTCTATGATCATTAACAAGGTTTTCTTATGTGTTATCAATTCTGTACCTCCGTACATGATACAAGTTTAAATGTCCAAGTATGCCGTCAACTGTAGAAGTCATTGCTTCTCGTAAAAGTCCACTAATACTTAATATTAAATCATATATATGGATAAAAATACATGGAGTTCAGAAGATATTTGACAACATTATAATTTAACGAACATACTGCCAGAATGGGTGGACTTTTTCAAACAACAGGGAATAGTTTAATTTCGCTTTAATAAGGTACCATACACATACCAATAGTTTAGTTTATGTTACAAAAAATAACTTTAATAAGATACCATACACAGTTACCTGAGCATATAAAAGATATAGTCCTGATTGTAGCACTTCAAATGATTCGTGTCTATCCGTATTAAGTCTCATTATGGTGTTTTGGTACTCATTTTTCATCCAGACAGCTTCTTGAAAATATGGAATAGCTTTGTATTTCTCTGTAAATGTGAAATTTAAGATAATGAATTTTATAAGAATCAACTTATTATATTGCAGTTTGTTCAAAAACTTTGATAATTATATTTTTTAATTTGATTCTTGTTCAAGAATTTCCATATATCAAAATAATGATCAAAGAAACTTACACAGAATGAATATTAACCATGGTACAACTCTGAGATGAAATTGATATGTTTTCTTTTTTCCTAATGTTGATACTAGGGAATTATCTTAAAATACGTCAGATACAAACATAATTATTGCGTATTTATTCATAAAGCGTGAAAAACCAGAAGTCTCTGTCGAGACTGAAGCTCTACTGGTTTGTACTTATAGCAAAGGAAGAGAAAAGTTCTTAAGAAGTTGGGAATTGAAACTTTACCACAGCAATAAAAAGAATAATGATCCTTGATTAAGTCTCTTTATGTTCTTAGTATAGTCTACTTGCATGCCACATTATATTAAAATCAGATCAAAATTGTAGGAGGAGTAGCATTTTGAGATTTTTTAACAGAAATTTCTATTTTTAGTTACCATGGCAACACCGTTAATCGAAATCAAAAACCAATATACAGAATTACGTATCTTAGTGTAGTCTACTTGTGTGCCAAGTTATATTGAAATCAGACCAAAACTGTAGGAGGAGTAGCATTTTGAAAGAATTTCACAGAAATTTCTATTTTTAGTAACAAGGCAACACCGTTCATCGAAATCAAAAACTGATAAACAGAATTATGTATCTTAGTGTAGTCTACTTGTATGCTAAGTTATATTGAAATCAGACCAAAACTGTAGGAGAAGTAGCATTTTGAAAGAATTTCATAGAAATTTCTATTTTTAGTAACAACGGCAACACCGTTAATCGAAATCAAAAACCGATAAACAGAATTATGTATCTTATTGTAGTCTACTTGTGTGCCAAGTTATATTGAAATCAGACCAAAACTGTAGGAGGAGTAGCATTTTGAAAGAATTTCACAGAAATTTCTATTTTTAGCAACACGGCAACACCGTTCATCGAAATCAAAAATTGATATACAGAATTAAGTATCTTAATGTAGTCTACTTGTGTGCTAAGTTATATTAAAATCAGACCAAAAATGTAGAAGGAGTAGTATTTTGAAAGAATTTCACAGAAATTTCTATTTTTAGTAACCACGGCAACACCGTTCATCGAAATCAAAAACTGATACACAGAATTATGTATCTTAGTGTAGTCTACTTATGTGCCAAGTTATATTGAAATCAGACCAAAACTGTAGGAGAAGTAGCATTTTGAAAGAATTTCACAGAAATTTCTATTTTTAGTAACAACGGCAACACCGTTAATCAAAATCAAAAACCGATACACAGAATTATGTATCTTAGTGTAGTTTACTTGTGTGCCAAATTATATTCAAATCAGACCAAAACTGTAGGAGGAGTAGCATTTTGAAAGATTGTTTACAGACAGACAGACAGACGGACAGACAGATGGACGGACGACGGACGCATTACTATCGCATAAGCTCTTCTGGTCTCTGACCAGTAGAGCTAAAAAATTACCTCGACTCCAAAATGTTCTGTTTGAAGGGCAATAGAAGTCTTCTTTACTTAGTACACAATCTACAATGTTACAAATTGACAAAAAGGTAAATGTAGCTCTAAACATTGCTTAAAATAGTAGAGGTAAGATCAAATAAAAAGTTAAGGAATGAAACTTTAACCTTGCGGAGGAAGAGATGATTTCCACTTTAGAAGTTTTTAATTTCAGATGCAAACTACTTGACTGGATAATTATATAGAAACCACGGTGATTAATTGTAGTTGAATTATATCCACCTCTCGCGGTTTTGCTTCAGTCATCGTGCTTTTACATGGCAGACAATCTAAACCAATCTCCGTATGTGGCATACTTACCTTTTACATTCGGTGGACTGGTAATAAAATGGGCTGCTTGAAATTTTCCCTAAAAACAGAAAAATCGAAATTCTTATAAAATATTTCTTTTAGAACATGTTTTAGTGAACAGGGCCACATGATGAGACACCTATTAGTAACATTAGTAATACTGCTTCATACAGGTTGGGAAAAAATCAAACAGACCTCCAAACCATCAGAGATAGGATTATGTTCCATAAACGTTTAGTACGAACACGGATATAGCGAATTCACCGATATAACGAAGTTTTTCTGGGTCCCCGTCAAAATTCTTAACAAATCTTTTTAAAATTTTACGGTTATAACGAACTCTGATATAACGAATTTACGGATATAGCGAACTGATTTTAGTCCCGTTGAGGTTAAATATAATGAATTCTACATCTTTTATAACGAACTTTCAAAGATTTCAAAATTTGAATAATGGAACTGACTTTATTTTCTCTCAGCATTTGTATATAAAATTCAATTCATAATAAAACCTTAGTTATCGAAGGTATGTTTTGTAATATTTGCTTCCCCAACATATTTGATAGTAACACTTGAAGGAAAACATTCATATTGCGAATTCGCTATATATGGTTATACGAATTCGTTATACGGATATAACGAATTACGGATATAGCTAATTAAATTCACAGGTCCCCAGGACTTCGCTATAATCGTGTTTTACTGTATTATTTAGAAAGAATTTATAAGAAATAACTGCCATTTCATTCAAGCTTATAAAATTCAAACATGCATTTTTTTCTCTTAGTTTCTGCATTTACGTTATAGTCGCTTACTCAAATAAAATCTGTATATATATACTGAGTTTGTATACTAAAATTGAAATTAACTTACAGGGGGGCCTTGTATGCCAGGAATTCCTGAAAAAGAGTGAAACGTGAACAACTGAAAATGTGAAAAATGTTTACTATAGCTAGACTGCAGTGATTTATAGATAATTATGTTCTTTTGAGTTAAAGTACAAGTTAATCACTTGCGTTTAAAGTTTCCGAGTAAAAAATGTTCTAATGGGAGTTTAACAACAAATTTAATTTTTAATTTTAAAAATAGAAATGCAGTTTACTTTTTTGTAATATTATAGAAAAACATGCTTATAACGAAGCGCCGGTAATGGGCGATTTTACTACGTCATACATGTATATGTAATTCGTTGTCATCATATTCTTTATATGTTTAAAACCCACGAAGAATGAAAATTTCTTCGCTATAAGCGTGAAACCATTATAATCGTGTTCCACTATAAGCGTGATTTAATATACTTTCAACTTGCCTTTTTCTCCTCGGGGACCCGGAGCCCCTGGTGGACATTTACATCTTCTGCGTTTTCTGATTTTGCTTCTTCTACGTTTGTTCTTTCGGTTTTTCTCTTTAAAAAAAAATACAGGAATCTTATTCGCATATTTTACTTTTATGACAAGAACAAGAGTATTTTAAGTTCCATAACTCTTCCATATCTCTTTCCAACACTACGCCTTTACATTTTCCCTGTCTCTTGTAAGTTTCTTAAAAATTCCAAAGCTTACAATAACTAAACTTTATTCGTATTAAATTTTCTTTTTTGCTTATCGCTTTATACTTATAAAAAGTAAAATTCTACTTAGAAACTAAGTTGTCAACCCTGATACAAAACCTACTAGGTTTGGGTGGTTTAGTTGAAGTGTCGACGCTCCGTTCGATTCTTTTCACTTCTTCTGATACACTAACAGTGTGCATCACGGATACAACTGATTCTATGGAGTCCTAAAATTTAAAAAATTCTATAATTTTATTTTGACAAATTGACGTTATTGATCAAACATAGATCTAAATCTGAATTGAGAAATCATAAGAATTTCCAAAATGCAACGTACAATGAATGTCAGAAACAGCTTAGTAAAATTCTAGAAAAGCAATTAAATTTGAAATATATTTTTAAATTAATTTATTCCAAGTAGATAACAACTTACTTACTTTTTCATTGTCTTTATATTCAGGAAATGACATGGATGCTACAATTTTGGAGAGTTCCCTTACTTCACTCTTCAACGCTGACATTTGGTAGGCAGACCAAATGCAGTAAAGAAATGCAGCAACAAGCAACACGTTCTTCGCAACGGAAGATGCAGATAAAGAAAAATTTATATCTACTTTCCTTTTCGGTTCAGACATTTTAAAACTGCAACAGTATTAAAAATTTGCAGTAAAAAGGTAACATTTCCAGGGTTATTTGATTCTGAGAGTTATTCCTTTGCACATGTTTCTGACTGCGACAACTTCTATTTTTCCCGGGAAGAAGTCTAAAAGCGTTACTTCCTGTGCCGTAACAAGAAAGTTCAACAACCCAATTCGTGGAATTCTAGCAGGTGCCCCTGTTGAGCATAATGCATATATATTTTACGCTACATTATTTTGCATATTTAAATGGGACAGGTATATTGAGTTCGTGTCAATTCTTCTTAAATTTAATGACAATTAACTGAATGGCCTTCAGTGCAATTTATCTGTGGCCGTGATAATAATATTTACATGTTTGATAAAAGAACAGGGATTATAGGAGCATGTGTTCAGTTTATTTTTTACATATCTCTACTACGTAAATACCGTATGACACGTGATACAATAGTGCATTTCAAACGAATTTTTGAAATTTGTCTTTTTTTCCCTACTAGGATCAAAACGTGATTCTGATTTTTACGACTTGTAAAGAATGATTTTTAATTGATAATTTCCATTTACATATCCGTATATATACTAGTATTTGAAACTGGGGACAGGGAATTTTTCACAATGTAGAGAAGAGAGTTAAAAATTTAAATGTTTAGGCTTTCATGGGACCTCATTTTATACCGTCTCGTCCGAAGAACCGGTCCCCACGTCTCAAAGTGGATTTGAACCCGCGACGTAAGAATAAATTCCTTATGTCGACTTTAGAGCAAACTCTCTAACACTACGCCATGCCATAGACTTAAAAAAAATGACCAGATTAAAATTTTCCTACCAGCAAATTTCTTCTAAATGGCATTATACGTTAGTAAAGTAAAAGGTGGAGATAATGAACAGTGTTAGATCTCAAAAAAATCTATAAACAATACAACGTTAAGAGGGCATAACACACGAACCCGTAAATTCCAGAGGTGGGATCAGGTGCCTAGGAGGAGTTAACATCCCTGCTGACCGTCACACCTGCTGTGACCCCTATGTATTAATCAGGTAGACGGGAGATTTCGGAGTCAAATTCAGTATACAAACAAAGACCTAACAATTAGTATAAAACAAGTCAACGAGAATAAGACTCCAAGTTATTAGGTCATATTTGATAACAAGGTCATTTACATATTGTTGACTTTAAATTCAAAGTGGGTATGTGAATTCCCTGTAACATCAACTTAAGAGGCATGTCTAGCTTTAAATACAATTTTCGTACCCAGAGCAAGCTCTTGAGTAGCGAATAAGTTAGAAGACAGAAACACCATAAGCAGGTGAGAGTGGGAAAATGCTACATTTATAAACAAACTTTACGATAGAAAAGCTGGTTATCTCGTTTGTCCTGTAATTTAGTAGTTTTTTTTTAAATTAATTTTAGCCTTTTTAATTCCAAATTCTTTGAGATATACCAAGTCGACAAATACTCAGTAAATGAAAATATACTGTTAATAGATAAATCATTAAAGAGATGTTAGATGTGATTCAATTTATTATTCAGACAAGTTTTTCAATGTCATTATATGTCTACATATTTTGTCACGTTTTGAGCAATATTGCCCCAAAGTTTGTATTTTCAGGCTTGAGTATGACTGCTGTATTTGCTGTAAGGAATCTGATGGAGAGCTGACTACCCTGTTGTAGAAAGAAAACACCGGACACACTACAGGTTTTCCCTTTGGAGTACATAAAAGGATTAGAAGGATTTGATCTAACGTAGTCGAGGCTTTCCCGGCAGTCCAGCTTACGATTGCTGTCAATGTAGATAGCTACGTCGTGTGATGATTTTGTGGCCTGGATCAAAACCTGGAGTATATTAATATACGACAAAAAAGTTTTATACTGTATCAAGTAAAGAATGAAGGTTTAAATTATGGATGATACAGTATCAGAACTATAGGATTAGAAGTTATGGAATGGAAAACAGATTGTAGGGGAAAGGTCAGAAAATTTATGAAACACCTGCAAATACTTAACAAAATAACAGAAAAAGAAAGGAATCATCAGAAAATTGAACCTGAAAAGAAGTACATTAAAACAGTCAAACTACTACTAGTTTGTGGACTGGAGTTTAGAAGGGCTAACCTTTATCTGTAGATATTGATAATGTAGTATGTACTGATATGATTCGTAATCCATATTCACTTTCTATTTACTGATAAAGGTAAGTGTCAAAAGCATCAAGAGATAAAGATGGGCGTAGAAAACTATTTCAAGGCAATCCAGTAACACAGTGCCAATGATCTATTATTTTAATTATCAACAATACCAAAAAAAAAAAATCTTATTTACAGTGTATGTTATTTGGCTTAGAAAATAAGTGGAATTGCAGAAGAAAATAAAGATATGCAATGCATGGTTCGTTTTGCAAGACAATTGTTCATTGATAAGAATTAAATTAAAATAGAAAAACTCCCTTCTTATTACATGTTTTACAAGAAAATGATAAATATCTACCATTGTAACTGTTAATTAAATGAAAATATCCTGGTAACTTAAACACTGGGATATACAGACTTTCCAGCTGGTAAAGTGCTTTTAAAATCAACATCAACAAAGAGAAAAAAAGTCATGGGAGCTGTCACAAATTATAACGATTGGAGGATACAGAAACTGGATGCACATTAATACAAGAAACATGTAAGCTTAGGTTGAATTACGTAAGTAAACTCCAAATGATTAGCAAAGGGATGAAAGAGAAACTGAAGTATAAATTAAAATGGAAAAGAATCTGAAAGTTTACATTGAAATATTAAACTTCTCCAAATTGGACTAAAAAAAATCTTGCATCTTGTGTCTACAGTGTAGAATACGAGATCGTTCAAAACAGCAAGTTTACAATGACATAAGAAGAAACTTGTAATCTACCAAAATGGTACCAGATAAACCGAAATCTTACATTGAGATACAAAAGATGAAGGCCAGATTTGGTCACTGTGAAGGAACTTGTGTCTGCTTGGCTTTGTGAAAGGGGTTCAACCTCCTCAATATGTTGTGACTTCATCCAAGATGAAGGTCTGAAAAATTTGACTCCGTGTAGAGGATCTACAAAGAGTTTGTGGATAGAGTATACTACAATATAGATTCTAGAATGTGGAAACAATTGGAGGCAAAGGAAATTATAATGTATTGCTACAGCAGAGACGTAATAAGCTTACCATTTATCATAAATGTTTGGTTTGCACAGAAAGTCCCCGACCAGACGTAGCAGCAGGAACCTGGAAAAAAAGAGCTTCCTATGATTAATACATTAAAAAAATCAAAAAATAGGATGTAAATAACGGTATGGTTTATTAACTCTCGCTGCTCTTAAAGAAGTTATTTTGATAATTTAATTTGCTTTTGACTTGTTGTTACGTAATGTTTAATCTTCATTATGAGATGCTTTCATACTGAACCAACCTTTGCATTTTATTCCTTGTTTCTGATAAATGTCGTGATACTCGTGTGGCACATAATGAACTGCAGTTACTCCTGAATTGACCTAAGACAGAGACGAAACGAAAACATTAGTAATAAATTTTCATCATAATTTTGTTCGGATTGAATATGATTATCAGTTCAAAATTATCAGAAGATGAGAACTTACATCACTGAGTAATTCCAGACCTGAAAGAATAAAAAAGAATTACAATTATGCGATATCATTTCGTTATTGAAAAAGCTCGTAAGTTGTTTTTTTAAATAAATACTTATTGAAAACCAACTTAATGCAAAATGGAAAAAATCGTACTTGGGCCTCCAGACAAAAATCTTTTCATTCCTGTGTTTTCTGAAAAGCAAAAACAGACAAATTGCTCAACTCTTTGAAGTTTTTCTTGCTCAGTTACTTTTGTTGTAAATAATTACTTTCATTGTATTTCATATACTTATAATACTTGCATCTTTCTTATACCCATTTCAGTCGTGAAACTTTTTTAAAAAAGAAAATACTTGGAAGCCAATTCAATATTTTAATTATTTACGTTCTCACGCAAACTATTTTATGCTATCCGACTAGAAGCGCAGTATATACTTAAGTCGTTATTGATAATTATATACTGAACTACTACCTCTGGTCAGCATATTTGTTCTATAACTATCTCCAGCAACTTCGTCTTGCATTCTTTCAAGATCAATAACTGACTTTTGGTCTATACTCTACAACAGAAATGTGTATTAAGAGACGGTGTGCTTTGATGCATATTACAAAAAAAGAAATTATTTGAAAAATTGTTTTTCAAAATATAGAACAGGAACAAACCGTGATATTCCAGTTGAAAATTTTTGTTGAACTTAAGATTCTGCTCAGATTATTCACTTTTTCCACTACGTTTTGCACTTCGTTCATCATCTTTATATAAATGACAAGCAAACAACTGCAAACTCCAATGACCATCATAAAAAGTAATATAACAGCAATTTTAATTCCAGCTTTCTTTCGATACTTTTTAGACGTATATGCCATTTCATTTAAGGAATAAACCTTGCAATTTGTCATATTTACTCGTCACTATTGGAAAACGTTTTGGCTGTGTCAATATTATTACCCGATAGTGTAATCAAACAAATATAGGTACATATATGACATGTGTAAACTTAATATAGTAAAAAGTGCTCCGATTAACCTGAAATCAGCAGCCAACCACGGTATAAGGATGGGTGCGGAAGTTAGTTAATTTCTACAGGGGTTGTGCAATTCTTCAGTAGGTGGACTTGGTATAACCTGGTTAGGACAGTGGTGTTTCGGTATTGAATTCGATTACATCATGCGGTCCACTCCTCCTTATACTGAATCGCCCAAAAGTTCAAAAACTCAAATAAACGACCCGATTTACATTTACTAGTATTTCATAGAAAGTTTATAAATACATTTTTCAGGACTTTTCGATCTTAAAGTTCATCCTTCATTCATAAAGGTGGCAACTTTATTTTAGTATACGTTGGTCGTTCTTTTCGGACACTGACCGACGTCGATAACACTATAAAAGTACTATGTAGTACTCTTATCAGACCGATTAAAACTTTCGAAAGGAGGAGGGATTTTCCATTGGAATGCAAAAAAAGGCGGATTTACAGAGCTGGATGGTTTCTCTTTTGATACCAATTTATATAAAGGCCAATTATTATGTGCGTTATGCTATCCCAGTCTTCTTTCCGATTTTGTATTTGCCTATAATGTAATTTGACAATGTAAAACTGAAGAACCCAATAAAATTTTTTTAACTGCAACACATTCTTCTTGCACATTGATTAAATCTATTTAATTTTACTTTTCTCACAAAGCAGGTGATAGTCAACATTATATTCAAAATTGCATTTTGACTTTCTCTAAAGCAAAGAGATATAGGTATAAAAATCAAGTTAATGTCTGTTATTTTTATATCAATAGAACAAATTTCAACAACTTAATAATCATAAAAAAGGAGACAATTTACATTTCCCCCCTATACATGTTACAGATTTTAACCCCCTTAATTACTCTTAAATGTGACCCTTCTGACTGAATTTGCTTCCAAAATCGAAGCAAACAAAATGGCAGCTTTTACATTGCATAGCAGAAAGGTACTAATTAAAACAAGCAAGTGGTAACTGCCTGCACAAAATGGAAAACGTTGCTATGAGGATTCAAGTTTGAAATTTGAAATAATTATACTTATCCATTTCTAAAGCTGACCATTTGAAAAAAAAAATCTATGTTTATTTCTTACTCCATTAATGGCAAAGTGTCTTATTATAAAACATTCAAGTAATGCTATGAATTTAACCTGCCTTCTATGCAGATTGCTCTGTTGAGAAGGTTTAGCATTATTAAACCATTGGTCTGTAAATAGTATGGGAAGCAGTAAAACAATGGCTTGTGGATAACAGTAAGTATTGACTTTTTTAATGTTCACCAAGCATGTATCTCCTTTTTTAAATTAATTCTCTATTTCCTTAGAACCTGAGTATATTTCCACAACATCTTTCAATTTCACTGAATCAATTAACAGCTAAAAGTACCATTTATGAGAATAAATAAAGATTGCAGATTTATGAAAATCAAAATATAAATATATATATCATAAATAACAAAAATACAAATAAAAAAGAAAAGTTTTTTTTTTATTGGCTCTACATTTACATTATAAGCATACTTGGTACACTTAAAATGCAAAATAAATTTGATAATGCTGATTAGACTATCACATTAAAAGTCACCACATTCACATACAAGGCAAAAATACTTTGTTTTACTACTGTTTTTCAGTAGACAACACATTTTGATTCAACAAAAAACACAGTTCAATACCCCAGCAACCCCCCTCCCCTTACATAATTTAGCCCCCCCCCACCCTTGTAAACCTATGTTTGCTGTTTGTACACATCATGCTGTATATTGGCCACAACACAACCAAAGGTGCTCATCACTGTGGGTAGTTCCTGTCCCTCCACCCACGTCTGTTTGCCGTTTTCCTCCTTTAACCAACACAGCCCGGCCATCCAACTCTTGTCATCCTCCCCTCCCACAATTAAAATTGTATTGCTGTATTTCACTATTCCTAAAATATAAATTTGTAGATTTACTTCAGTTTTCTGATAACATTCTTGTAAATTAGACTAGATATAAAATGAATCTCACAAAGTAGTACTCATGAACAAAGCAACTTTTAATTTGACCTTTGATCTAATGGAAAAAGCTTGAACTCTACTTGCAGCAAATAAGTTGACTCTATGACTTAGTCTCAAGTTATTAAAGCGATATGAGCTGCATTTTTAAAAATTTTATTTTGCTGTCAAAATGTATTATTGTGATAAATTTGTATCTAATTTAAACCTTTGTGATCAATTAGATTTTAATAAAGCATTATATTGTTTCTGAAGAAAGACTTCTTTACATTCGAATATACAGTATTATATAAGAAATCATTATTGTACAGGACGACAATAATGCAATTTTGATTCAATCAAAGCTTATAAATATCTCTTACATCATAAATATGAACAACAGAAGTTTATAAACATTCTTTTTTTCTGCCATTAAAATAGATATTTACAATTTTGCAACAAAAAATTCCAACATCAAAGTTGCAGCTCATATTGCTTTAAATGATCTTGTATACATGAAATGACTGATCAACTCTTGTAAAATGCAATGACTCTTCACTCAATTTTAATTGAAGAAATTACATAAAAATGTAAATTTATTAGAAAATCATTAAATTTGATAAAAATATATATATATATTTATATCAATAAAATAAACTATCATTTATGCATAAAATGATTTTTATTAATTCTTTTAAACTGTGAAACTAATGTATCAAGGGAGATAACAAAGAAAATTTCCTTGAAATTTAGCAGAGAGAAGCATTCTGAATTGAATAATTCATGTTAAAACTTTTCATCAATAAAAAGCTCATTAATTATCATTAGTACCTGCACCACACAGGGCATTAGGAAGCTCCGGTCCCTCACTCCATGTATCTGTGGCTGGATCAAACACCTCTACTGAACTTACACAGTGCTCAGGGAGAAACTCCTTCTTCCATTTGTCACTGAGTTCTGAATTTCCTCCTATGTATTAAAAATATTGAAATATTTCACAACTCCATTCTAACAAGGAAAGAAGATCTTTTTTTTCTGACCGGAGGAATTTAATAATTCATGCAAAAACTCCATAAGGTTTCTCAAAATTTAATTTAGAATTTAAATATTTGCAATATCATTAATATTAAATCTGTGTGAATAGAAAATGTCACTCAGCCAGAAAATATACCTTTGATTTCTTTTTTGAGAAAATTAAGATACAATTTATAGATTTTTTGGTACATGTATATGTGCATTGCTATTTCCTAAATACTGGACTTCACGTTAGAAACTTAAAATTAGTTTCTTAGCTGTTTCAAATACCTTCTTTTCATAATAGTAAATACTTCATAAAATTCTACTATTCCTTGATTACTGACCAATGACATAAATCTTGTCTTTGTGAACCACACAGCCAGCCAACACTCTAGCTGTAGACATGGGAGGTAACTCTACCCAGGTATCATCAGCTGGATCATACCTACAATATAATATTTATACAGGTATACTCACTAAATTCTACTATTTGAGTTTACATATTACTTGCAAAGTTTTAAGTTAAAACACTTTTATCAAAATTTATTTTCAAAAAGCTTGAGCAAAGAACAAAACTGTTACCAGGTAATATAGAGGCATGTCAAAAGGAGACTTTTTGTTCAATGAACTTGCCAACAAAATCATCATTTTGCAGTATATCACTCAAAATTTGTATATTTGTACCTATATGCTGTTCTACTGATTTTGTCAGTGGTCTCCCCACCAAACACATAGAGTTTGCCTCTGTAACTTATGCTGGTCATAAACCTCAGAGGAATTGCTAGAGGAGCCACCAGTATCCAGGCGTTAGTGTGGGGGTCATAACGCTCAACTGTACTCAGAATTTCTGATCCGTCCTGTCCACCAATTGCAAAGGCATACCTGTCAAATTAAAAGAAGTTATTCTAAAATTTGAAATCGATAAACAAATTATATCTGAACAAACAGAAGTCTCTGATGAGACCTTGGCTCTACTGGTTTGTACTTACAAAGTGCATTATAATAATAAATAAAGATGTATCTCTGTACAATCTACTTGTGTTCAAAGTCTAATTCGACCACACTGTATGAGACAAGGCAATCAGAAGGAATTTAGAAAATATTCTATTTTAGTGTTCATGACAACATTGTCAAAAAAAAAAAGAAGATAAATGACAAATAGAACTATGTATCTTAGCATGTAGTTTTCTATCAAGTTTTACTGAAATTTGACCAAAACTGAAGAAGAGTAGCATTTAGAATTGATTACAGACAAAATTTATTTCCTTACTAAAGCATAAGCTCCAGTATTAAAGCTAATATATTATGACTTTGATAAGTCTAAGCTGCATGTGCAGATTGTCTTTTATCATCTTCACTTGCCAAGGGTTTCTGATCTGAAATCTACTCTACAACTAGATTTCAAACCCTTGGTTAGAAAATATGGTCTTTTATAATTTTTTTCTTCAAAATATCCCATCTTAAAGTATTGCAGTTCTTATCTGTTCAAAAAATTTAATTACTGAGAATAAACCAACATTGGTTAAAAATTGTTCATTCATATGACAGTGTGAAATTTTTAATATGTTCAAAGGTCTATGAGTGACATACAGTGATGAAATTTAGTGACTCATGTAACCTAACTATCAATAAGACATACAAAGTGAATCAAAAAGAAAAATATGAAATACCCATCAACTATAACTAAAGAAAACTGTGATCTGGACATGTGCATTTTGGCTTTTGGTGTCCAGCTCTTCTCTATCTGATCAAAGACATAGAAGTTACTGGACACGCCTTCAGTGGTCACTGATCCTCGGTAGTTCAGCTTCCGAATCGATCCCCCCGCCAAGTAAATCTGGTTATCCCCAGTAATGGCGCACCCTGAAATGGAGTGAAGAAAAAATCAATTAACAAAGATACAGAATAAAAACAGGAAAAATCTAATCAATGAATTAGAATATATTATAATCACACAAGATCACAAAGATAAATGTGAATGAAAAATAAATGCAATTTCTTGATTTTTCATATAAACCTGCATAGGAAAGTGCAACTTAATGAATACGTTACAAACCTGGGGTATATAAACTCTGTGGTAATTTACAAATGGTAATGACTTCTCCAGTTTTAGGTAAAAGCATCTCCATGCTGTTGAACTTCTTCATTTGTTCCTCTGTGTAGGGATTGGCAATGATCATCACTCCCGTCTCGTACACCATTCCTCTCCGAGGCATGAGATTCAGGTCCATTTCGTGTTGTCTGTTGCGTAGCATGTGAAAATATCTCACAGTGTCCAGAATTTTTCTCAGAGATTCACAATCTTTCAGTGTTTTGCACCTGTCAATTCTATCACAAAAGTAATAAGAGCTAATGTTTGCAAATCTTACACAATTCATTATTTCCATTAGATGTTCCATTCTGTTGTCTCTGTCCGTCAACAACCATTCCATGCAGGCTTCATAAACCGTCTCCTCATTGGTTACATTAATGTCATCATCGCTTATAATCTCCACTAATTTGTCTGAGGGTAAGGACAGAAATTCCTGTTGTTTACACAGAACAGCAAATTGGTTGTTAACAATTTCTTTGGCTTTTGTGGCCAAGTCAGTGCATTCGTGAGCTTTTGCAAAGAAGTAAACACCAATACAGTTTGAAACAGTGATGTGATTCATCATAAACTCTGCACAGCCACTTCTCAGTGAAAGTAACTGAAATCTGTTCGATGCTGACAGTAGATGTTGTACTGTTTCTTCTGAAAGCTTGACCTGGCCAGTGTATATATAGTCTAGGACTAAACCCATTGTCAATGGATCCAGCTCCTTCAATGTGATTTTGTTTTGCTGGCTTTCTGCCATATTTGTTGAAAACATGGCCATGAAGAAGGGACTTGATATAGCAAGAACATTTTTATGACATGGGAATTCTGCTTCATCTACACAGAGTGTCACATCAACAAACTCTTTTTCTTGGTATAGTTTGGAAAATCCCTGTAGAAGATTGACTGCCCTCTCTTTATCCACAAACTTGTCTTCAATGGGTGATTCATACTGAGTCGTAGAATCTAACAGGCTCTCCTGCTCCTGGGTACTTGAGGGATCATCTGGACTACTCATTTTCTCCTGAAATTAGATGGAATTTCCATGTATTAGAGGTATTAACTGATTTTAATTTTACATTTTTTCATCATAATGCATTTTGCTGAGTATAGCATATTGCCTTCTAAATGTCACCAAAGACAGATCTATCTTTTAGTGAAATAATGTAATTCAAACTAAAACATTTTCATTCAAAACGTTTAAAATCGGACTTTGGTGTGTCAAACCATCGGGGTATGGTGCACCCAAGACCATCGGTACTTTGGAGTCCCATCACACTTTGCAGATGTATTAACTGATTTTAAGAAATGCATTTTGATAGCATATTGCCTTCTAAATGAACTTTTAGTGAAATAATATAATTCAAACTAAAACATCAAAATGCATGGACAACATAAATAATTTTAGATCAGTAATATTCATGATATTGGTAATAGTGTGACAGGTGACCATTGCTTTATTCCTTATTAACATGTTTGTAAAAATATATTAGGGGAAACACAATATCAGGGGACTCTTTGACCAAAATTGGGGACGTTTTGACCATTACTTCGGTTCCCATATGATTTTTTCCAAGAAAAAAAATGTAATTAAGGGGGCGCTAAATTCGACCAAAATCAGGGGACGCTTTGACTAAAATTAGGGGACGCGTTTACCAATATTTGGGGGCGGTTTGGGGGGATGTTTTGTAACATCATTTTACTGTAAAATTCTATAAGGGGCGCTTTGACCAAAATCAGGGGGCATTTTGACCAAAATCAGGGGACGCTTTGACCGGGACGGTTTTATTAGGGGGCGCTTTGACTGGATTTCATTCATGATATTGGTAATAGTGTGACAGGTGGAGTAAGAAACACAATCAAGAGTTTAAACAAGAAACCAGTACAAGAATGGGATGCAACAAGGAAACAATCATAAAAGAGAAAAGACAATCTGTGTTAGGACCAAACAGATCCAGAGCAATCTGTACATTAATTTGGCTTTGAATCACCTATATGGCTTTATTTAGTTGTATTAATAAGTAATTCATTTTGTAACATTTACAATTTTCTGATTGTACCAGATATTGGAAAAGCTTTAATGAATACTGATGCTTACAATACGAATAAGAAAACATCTTTACAGAGGTAAACAACTGAAAATCATAATGTGATTATCTAACAAAAAAAAAAAAAAAATCAGACGTATTAAATTTTTTCAAATGTAAGATATTAATGGCCACTTGCACAGGTCTCGGTTAAACCTGGGTCAGTGTAATCCAGGCTTAAGTTTAGCTCAAATTTGTTGATTCACTTGCACACCTGAAATACTCAGGTGAGATCAGCTCAGTATATTACCCTAGTTCTGAACCTGGCAGTAGGGAGGTTTAAACTAAGGTTTGGCATAGAACATGTAGAATGGATGAATATTTTGATAGAATTGATATGGTGACTATTATGTGGAAAAGCTCATAAGAAGAGAAAAATGTAATAAGAGATAGACAGAATCCATTTTTATTTTATTCTGAAAAAAGAAATTGGTATGCACAGTAAATTATCTCCATTTTTCAGACACATTTAGAAAAAAAATATAAGATAATGTAATTCCACTCTCCTGCTAAAATTTCTCTGTGTTTCCAAATCTTTTTTTATTACTGGTTGGAAATAAAAAAATTTTTTTATGCAGGGATGCTAAAAATAAAGCAAATTCTAGAAACTATTCTTGCAAAAAGCGCTCTCGTGTACACCATACAAATCTCCCTAAACTCTCAAAAAACACCCTGTTGCGTAAAAATCTTAATTAATGAAGGCAATAATTGATTGAGAGGAGAAATAACAGACAGTTTCTTTTGTTTTGGTTCCTGTTGTGCTGTAATTTTTTGTAATATTATTAAATAAGATAATATTGAAAAAAATATTGGACAAAGCTGAATTTATTACAATTTTTATACAAATGGTTGCCAAACACCAGCAAAATTATTGTTAAGATCATTACTCTCTTTTGCCATTGCATTATTAATTGGTCCGCGTTGCAACATTTCATAAATAAAGTTTCTGTTTCTTCAGTATAAGAATGCTTTCCTTTTATTTCAAGATTATCTTTTTCCGATCTCTGCGATCTTTCACAACATCAGCCTTTGCATGCGCTTTCAAATTTGTCCACAAAGATTTTAATTGTAATACTTCTGGTATTTACACCATGCCTTGCAGTGAATGCTTTCTCAATACTTTCCCATTCTTTTTTTCTTACAGATCATTCTCCCATCATTTAGTTTAATACTTTCAATGATTGATTTTTCTTTTTCTAACTAATTGTAATTTAAGAAGCACAGCCTTTTCCAATTCTGTTAAAATTTGGTGCCTTCTTTGATGTCATATTCAAAATAAATCCTGGTTTAACCTGCATGTAAGAAATGCTTGAGTGAAAGGTCAGCAACCCAACACCAGCTCACCTGAGTACAAGTTAAAAAAAAAGTTTACCTGATCCTTAGATCAGTCTTTAAGCCCAGGTTACCTAATCTAAATGTGTGCAAGTGGCCATTAGTGCTTTGACATTGCCACTAATTTTACTGTTTGTAAAATATTTACTTTCTGCAAGATGTAAAATCCTTAATATTTTTTCCTAAAACATAAACTAAATCAATTCCGAATTTCCTCTATGATGAACGCAGTACTTACCATTAAATCACACTCTAACATATGATAAAGAACACATGCAGCTAAAACAACTATTCGTTAACAATGGTTATCCTCAAATATAGGCCCATTTTACACAATTATCTTCAATTTCGGTCAAAAACAGCATTTTTGTTTTCTTTCTAAAAACCGGAAATAGTCGAGTAACTTCCCTTTAAAAGTAGTCCATACCAAATTCCTACATTATGCATTTGATTTTAAAATTTAATGATATGAAAAAATCGCAAAGCTCAAAGTTTAAAAAACAGTTTTAATTATTCATAATATACAAAAGATTTAATTTTATGCAATAATTTTCATTCTAATCATAGACTATATTTTTGAAGTTTCAATGCGGAAGGACATTGCTAGGTCGTGCACCTTGGTAACCACGTAAACTCTTTACTGTGTTGGTTTCAGTCAATGTTGATGTGGTAGTGCATAACCGGGATAGACCAAAAAATAAGCAATGGCATTACCGTTTCTCCCGGGAAACTCTTTCAACAAAAGCGTAAGTAATATAAGATATATTTTTTACTTAGTTTGTAATTCTAAATCTTAATAAACTTACGAGAAATGTGTTAGAGGAATAGAAATGGGATAAGTGTTTTCTGATTGCAGCATGTGTTGATAGCAGATGCATTTTTCAAATTAACAACATTGAAATAAATCTGTTGCATTTTATATCATCTTTTAAAAATATATACGTCTAATATCTTACATATGCATAAAAATCATATTGTGTTCCATAAATTCCAGCTTGGTAAAACAAAATATCACAAATCTCACCATTTTGACTACAAAAATGAAGTTTCTATGCTGGTTGGAGAGGAGAAACCTGGTATAGGTGGTGAGCTCCTTAGGGGTCAAAAAATAAAACCACAAAACACAGTCTTCCCAAAGGGAGAAGGAAGCAACTTGCCTGCATGGGTGGCCTTTGACAGACAGGTCCTGTGTTTTGATGCATATTTCCAAGAGGCTGTTTACGAGAAACGTGAAGAACAGTACAGAGTTCGTAACTGCAAGATCTATTTCTACTTAGAAGATGATTCCATTCAAGTCATTGAACCAAGAGAAAAGAACAGTGGAGTACCACAAGGTAAAAAATAAGACACACTCAACTGTTTTGCAAATGATTTTCTTACTTGAAATTAAAGTAGATCCTTGCTTTGTGTCATTATCATACATATCATCTCTTTTTCTCATAATCTTATTTTGCGACTGTTAAATCGACATTAATGATCACAAATACCATATCAGAAGAGAGTTATTCCTTAAATCAGAATTTTTCAGTGTCATATATTTGTTAGTTGCACAGATCCCCAAAATTAAACCCAGGCTATGAAATTCATTTTCTTGATTTACAACAGGCACACTTATCCGAAGACACAGAATCCCCAAACCAGCTCCACATGATGATGAGTACTACACTGCCGAGGACTTTAACATTGGCTGTGAAATCAACCTTTACTCTAAAGTTTTCAAGATCACAAATGCAGATGATTTCACAAAGAACTTCCTCAGGAAAATGGGAGTCAGAGTCAATGAACCTGATAACAAACCAGAAAACCCATATACCAAATATAGGAAAGCTGTAAGTATTTCAAAGATGATTCAGCCCATTTAAAACCTAACCAAATGCTAACTGAAAACGATCTACGATTTGGTGTGTGTTTTTAAAAAAGTTATTGAAATATCCTTCTGAAAAATGACAATACCAATTAATCATCAAGATTTGTTTCAATAAACAATTCTAAAAAAAGATAATGCATATAAACTCACCTAGTATAATGTGTTTTCTCCCAGATGGATGAAAGCATGCAGCCACTCAGACCCTATGAGAAGCATGACACACTAAAACAATTCTTGGACCATGATCGTCACGTCTTACGCTTCTTCTGTTACTGGGATGACACGGACAGCATGTTTGGGGATCCGCGGGAACTGGTGCTCCATTACTTCTTGGCTGATGACACGATTGAAATCCGAGAAGTCATTCCTGCCAACTCTGGTAGAGATGCTGCCCCAATGTTCCTCAGGCGTGGAAAGCTTCCCAAGAACATTGAATCCCTCCGCCAGCCAGGAGAAATTACAGACAGGACTGTACTGAATGTATTTGGTCCAACTGGTCATGGAGGCAGATATATCTTAGATAGCTTAAAGGTACATAATTGAAGTTGTAAATATAAATAGATGTATGATATTTGCTCTTGTCAGATTGACAAAATTTTTTTTTAGTCAAATATGGGCTATGAGAAATAAAATTGAATGTATAAAACTTTTTAATATTAAATGTTACAGACAGGAGCAGTGAACACAGACTTCTACAGAGACAGTGATCTAACACTAGGATCTGTACTCAATGTCTGGGGAAGAAAAATCTTACTGTGTGATTGTGACGATTTCACAAAGGAGTACTATCGCACCAAGTATGGAATTGGTAAGTGGAAACAATAGATCACATTTAAAAGCATGAAAATTCTGTTTTGTTTTAAGGAATTTCAGCAAATATCTTTCAGACTATGTCATTATCTAGAAATTAGAATCATACTTTTAATACCTTTTCAGAGGACTTCTCATCTGTCCAATACAAGAAGAACACCGGTGGAAATCCTCCACGTCAATTCCCTCCCTACAATGGATGGGGAAGTGAGGAGGACTCCCTCTGCTCTTGTATGGGTCTCCTTCCCAAACCTCCCAAGAGGGACTTCATCAAGTTTATGGAGAAGGACAGACGTGGACTTGACAGCAATGTCCTCCGTTTCCTGGCCCGTATGGACACATCCAAACCCATCGACCAGGAGCGACGCTTCATCATCTCCTACTATCTGTCTGATGATACCATCTCAGTCTTTGAACCTCCTGTCAGAAATTCAGGTAATTTGTTATAAATAAACAGGGAACAGAAAGAGTTTCATTTTTTCTTTAGAAATTCATGAAAAAGTGCCAGAAAATATCACTGCTAAAATATATTAACTAAATAATGAACAGATTGATTCAAAGACACTGAAATTTTACATTGAATTAACAAACCATCGATCTATTTATTTGCACAAAGTTTTAAAAAAACATTTTAGAAAGAGAAATAAATTCAGTATTGATTAAACTCTGCTCTTGAATATTTTTGAAAATTCACAAGTTACCTCCCTTTTGGCAGGAATCATTGGAGGTAAATTCTTGGAGAGGACCCGGATTAAGAAGCCTAACCAGCAGGCCTACAGTACAGAGATGTCCCAGTATTACCTGTCTGACGATCTGTTTGTCGGTGCTTGTGTCAACTTCAACAGCCACAAATTTGTCCTCATTGATGCTGATGAATATGCATTTAGATACATGGAAGAGAATTCTGGAGTAAGTCATACATGATACAGTAAACTAACAGTTTTGTCTTATACTGATGTACGCTATTGCAGGGGCTGTCCTTCTTGCAAAAAATACATTGTTATTAATGCAACAGAAAAGATATAATTTTCAAGTTACTGTCATGTTTTATAATCAAGTTAGTCAATGCATAGAATGTATTTGGATATGTGTTGAATTCATATTCATTGTCAAATTATTTCTTTCTTCAGTATCCTAGAGCCAACATTAATGCCATTTTGCAAAAACTTGTCAGCAAAGTAGGCAACAACCAGGACGAGATTCGCTCTTTCTTCATGAGGAATGACCCCAATGGTTCTGGATGTATGGGATATGACCAGTTGGTCTCCCTCCTCCGACAGATTGACCCCACCATCAGTGATCATGAGATCATGACTGTGGCTCGTCACTACAGCCAGAGAACTCAGGAGGACGCTATTGACTCCAACAAACTCGTGGCCATTGTCCAGGAACAACTCAGGAAGAGAAACTATGAAGGATTCGGAAAACTGTTGGAGGACTGCATGCAGAATGACAAAGAGAAGTATGTCAATTTTACCTCCCCCCCCCCAAAAAAAAAAGAATTAATTGGAAAGAACATTATGATAAGCCCATATTTAGTGATGAAACTAGCTTCCAAAATTATCAACTGCAATTCATAACTTGGAGGAAAAAACTGGGGGTTTACTTTTAATACCAATGAAATATATTATTCCTGTATTAAGTTTTTATGCTGATTAAGATTTGAGGCTTTTTTGCTTATAAATTTTATCCAAAAATGAAGTTTCAAAAAATATTTGAGAACTTTTAATATATTTGCTATACAGAAATTAAACTAATCAATATTTTATTGATCTTACAGACAAGGCATGTTGGATGCTGAAGTTGTCAGGACCATTTTCAGAGCTCACAATGTTCCCCTCCCTGATGATATTCTGAGAGCTGCACTCTCCATGTAAGCTTTTAATTTTACCTTTGGTTCGATATATACATGTACGCAAAACATGTAGCTTATATTCATATAATTTTTAGACCAAGTAGAGATTTATAAATATACACTTCAAAATCTACTTTTTTAGGATTGAATGGGAAATTGAATATTCCCATACATTGATCATTATTGACTTGGAATTTGAAGATCAAAATTGGTATTTTACAGAATGTAGTCTAATAGGAACTCTCTAGTATTCATATACTTGTATATCTCAGATAATTTAGAGAAAAGTCTATTTTCTCTCTGACTTCTTCAAGTAAAAGTCTAATAATAAAAAAAATCATCAAATGCTGAAACAATCTTTTAGTTTTCTTAATTTGATTTGCATGGCAATTAAAGTATTTGAAATTGATCGTTAGATTTTTACTACACCCTTTATTCTTAAACATGTACTCAGTATGATAGAATAAATTCACTCATCAATCAAGAATATTCTGGCAAAATCACATTGTAAGTTAATTAGGTTTTCTCATGATTATCAATCATTCTCAAAAAATCTAAAACCCAGTTACAAATATTGCAAGAAATAATTTTCTTCATGTTCTTTAAGACATATCTATAGAGTTAATAGAAGTAGATCTGAACCTTTATTTAGGTTTTTTTCTCTCAATTTCAGGGCTGTTGCCTCAGAGAAAGGGGAGGTGGCTTACAGGAACCTCATCAGTCAGATGAATTGGAGGGACTCCCCAGTACCCCCCATGCAATATGAACCCTCCTCTGATCCCAACTGGGTAGGAACACAGCAAGGCAAAGGAAGTGTATCAACAATTAACTATCAGAATCTCCTACAAGATTGCTTTGGAAAAGCCAAATCATCATAAAGACTAAGTGTGCTAGGGAGTTTATCAAATTATCTGTGATACAAGATTTGTAATTTTAATAACAAAACTTGTGCCTGAAGTATTTATAACTGCAATTCATTTCACTTTTTCTGAGCATTTATTGTGTTGTAAAAGGATGAACAATAACAAACAAGAAGTTAACAGGAATAAATAATCAACAAGAAACAAATTTGGCACAAACCAGTGTTTATGAAGTTTATGTACATATTGACTATATTAAATATTTTAAATGTGAATAAAAAGAGTAAACATGTAGCTGTAATCTTGTACTTGATATCAGTTAACAAATGCATAATTATCAACTTATTGAGCAATCGGAAACACTTTTTTCAAGCTTGGCAGTCCTAGGGTCACTTGCTGTGTGAAGGAAGCTCAAGCTATTTCTTTTTTTTTTCTGTTATATCATTGGAGTGATCAAAAGTAATTGATATTCATATTTTCAGGCTAAGGTTATCTCCTCCTTGATGGTCTGAAGTTTCTCTCTGTTCCTTTTTAAGAGTTCCTTGGCAGCAGCATTCTCTTCTTTAAACATTGCCCTGAAAATGTACAACACTTTTAGTATGGTATTGTACTTTGAATAGGTATAAGTTTCCCTATTTTCCTAAAGTTTTGTGATATTTATAGAATTCATCACTGACTTTATCTTTCCAATGATATATACATGAAGATGTCCATATAAAAAGCTTTCATAGAATATATTTTATAAAGGAGTCATGCAGCTTTGCTTGTCCCTTTAATGGTAAGGTTGTCATGATGTCATTCATAAACCTTATTTTGCACAAATAAGAGTGAAATATATGACATTTTTACATGTATATATTTATTTATTCAGTACTTTTAGGTAAGAGAAAATTGCTATATTAGTATTATTTAATGCATCAAACCATGCAGTATAGGTTCATGTTAACATTTTTAATGCATTAGATACACTGTGCGTTTCAAAGCTTTGTTACATGTTGAAAACTTCATTGCTACACATTTTAAATTCAAATCACTAGTTGCAGATAGAGGAAAACAGCACAATGACCACACAGTTTATAATTATGATATCATTTTAATGAGCTAATGATTCTTCACAGCATTATTCAAATCAATCAATGCGCTTAGCATGTCTAAAGTATATAAAACCCTTTACAGCCGAAAGATGACAGTTTCTGATTTCAAAACTCCTTAGATATAATTTTATGAAGTGATAGTAATATTTGATATGGAAAAACAGACTCAGAAGGTGACAATTATAAGGCCACATTTCCAGCATAAAAGCCTTTTTTATGCCCCCATAAACGAAGTTTTGGGGGTATATAGTTTTTGTCGTGTCCGTCTGTCTAGGTGTCTGTCTGTCTATCTGTTTGTCCGCAAAAACTTTAACCTTGCCCATAACTTTTGATTTATTGGAGCAATGACTTTCATATTTCACATGTGTATTCCTTGTGACAAGACCTTTCTTTGGGTACCACCAAATTTGACCTTTTGAGCTTGATTTTGGAGTTTGACCCACTTTTAGACAAAAATTCCAAACTTTTACCTTGGCCATATCTTTTGAACAATAGATACCAGGACCTTTATACTTCACATATATATTTCTTGTTAAAAGTCCTTTCATTGGATACCAACAACCTTGACAATTTCCGTACTTGTGAAAAAACTTTAACCTTAGCCATAACTTTTGAACGGTAAGGGTTAGGGCTTTCATGCATGTACTTTATATAAAATCCTTGTGAAAAGACCCTTCATTAGATACCAAGAACTTTAACCTTTGACCTTGACCTTGGAGTTTGACCCACTTTTAAAAAGCGAACCTAAACCATAACTTTTAAAGGGTTAGGGCTAATGCTTTCATACTTTACATATTTAATCCTTTTGACAAGACCTTTCATTTGATAGCAAGACCTTTGACCCTTTGACCTTGGAGTTCGACCTACTTTTAAAATTGTTTAACCTTGGCCATAACTTTTGAATGGTTAGGGCTAGGGCTTCCATACTTTATATATGTATTTTATGTGGCAAGTCCTTTCATTGGATACTGACTACCTTGACCTTGGAGATTTTTGTAATTGCGAAAAAACTTTATCCTTGGCCATAACTTTTGAATGCTAAGGGCAAGTGATCTCATACTTCACTTATGTAATCCTTGTGAGAAGACCCCTTATTGGATACCAAGAACTTTGACCCTTTGACCTTGACCTTGGAGTTTTACCTACATTTAAAAAGCAAACATTGACCATTACTTTTCAATGGTTAGGGCTAGTGCTTTCATGCTTTAAATATTTAATCCTTGTGACAAGACTTTTCATTTGATAACAAGACCTTTGACCTTGGAGTTTGACCTACTTTTAAAATTTTTAACCTTGGCTATAACTTCTGAACGGTTAGGGCTAGGGCTTCCATACTCTACATGTGTACTTTTCGTAGCAAGGCCTTTCATTGGATACCAATGACCTTGAGCTTGAAGATTTTCGTACTTTAAAAAACTTTAACCTTGGCCTACTTTCATATTTCACAATTGTATTTCCAGTGAGTATACATAACTCTTGGTACCAATATATAAAATTTGCATTTAAGAAAAGTTTAGTCTTTGCTATGTTGCCACATGGGGGCATCAGTGTTCCACAAACACATATTTTTTAAAAACATCTGCCAGTTTTCAATTATATATGTACACATGGCCCGCTTGGTGGAGTGGTTAGAGCGCCTTCTCCAGAGTTGTGAAGTAAGGAGTTGATCCATATGTTACCAGTTTCCAATTCCACTGTGGGATGTGGAGACCAGTCATTTGGACGAGACCATATAAAACTGGGTTCCTGTGTCGCAGTAGGTGCTGGCACGATAAAGATCCCTCCTTGCTCAATGGCCCTGAGTGCCGACTCTGTTGAGGAAAGGACAAAATTTGCAGCTCTCCACCGACAAGTGGTGGCGTGTCCATATGAATGAAAAATTCTTGAGAGGGATGTTAAACAATATACAATCAATCAAATATACAATAGTATGTCTAACATCTGTGGCATATATGAGAAAAAGTGTAATAAATTAATAAATTTATCTCTCAAACCAGGAGATATCAACATGCAATGTGCAACATTATTTAAAGAATGAATTTAATAACTACCCATTTTATACGGTATAAACTGGGTTGGGGCAGTTTACGCTTTATAAACCGCGAAGCGGTTTATAAAAAAGCGTAAACTGTTCCAACCCAGTTTATACCGTATAAAATGGGTAGCTATTAATTTCATTGCTTATAATTTAATTTTCATTCATTTGATGTAAGAAAAAAAGATGATTGTTCTAACAAAATGGCTTCAATTTGTACAAAATTTGAATGTAACGTCAGGCGGATTGATACGTTTTTGACGAAAGTCATTGTGACGTAGGCAACCCATTTTATACGATATGAAGTAAATTTTTTATCCAATCAAATACAGCATTACAACCAGAATTAAATTATTATCGCAAGCATGCTAAGACATACCTTTGAGAGATGGTGGTTTTAAAAATTATATTTTAAGATAGGCAAGAAGAACCCAGAAATGAGAACTCAGGAATGTGTTCAGTTTATCAGTTTTAATATTGTTTGCAAGGATTTATTCCATAGTTGTGATTTTCACTCATTACATGCATCTGAATACAAAGACCCTTGACTTTTTTTCAATTTTGCAAGATGTCACATGTATTTTGTACTTCACTGTTTTCTTTCTCTGCAAATGATACAAAGCCAGCATATCCTTTTGAGTCATAAAACATAAGAGTCACACTTTGAAATATTTAATACAAGGGATTTTGCCAAGAGTACTAATGATTTTCCTGTTCCAAATGAAGATGAATGACAAGCTGAGTGGCATAGTCCATGAAAATTCCTTTTATAGTGCATAGATTTTTGTGTATATGCAAAAACTCTGTGATGCAAGCTTTTCTATTGATTGTTTGTATGTAGAAGTGACATTTTATTTAAAATCTACAGAGACAGGAGTTGCTTAATAATATGATTCCAGCTTACGACAGTCTTCAGTGACAAGATCCAAGTACTTTCCTTATGGCAGAATGATTCCAAGTGAGCATGCTGAAGATTTTTCCCCACAGTTAGTGTGAGACCCCTGAAACAGTCAACAATGTTTTTCACCACCACTAGTGCCTTGGGTGCAAAAGTGTCAGCCATGTATTTTTGAAAGCTTACAAGCTTAATTCTCACTGACTACTGGTACATGATGCCAATTTTTGTTGAAAATTGTCTTGTTGATTATCTGCAGTTATTGCCAGTTATAATTTTGGAAAAAAAACCCATGCTTTTAACTTTTCCCTGAATGGTATGTAATCGTTGTACAAAACATGAAATTACTTGATAGTGTAATCTTTTTCTTGACAAATTCCTTAATTACTTTGCTTATTTGGGCACTTGCATCACTTGTGAAGGAGTTTATTGTGAGCATTAACATTGTGAATTTTCTGTAAGTTTTTTGTAAGCAAATTTCACTTCACTAGAAGAAATGGAGTCATCAGTAAATAAATTACAAGTCAAACAAGGGAACATTTGTTTGCTTCCTGACTACAGCTGTTAATTTTTGAAAATATTTTGTTGCCATTGCTAAAGGAACAACCAATCATTTTTCAATAATTATACTTGAATCATAGCCTGCCTGGTTGCGATTGTTGTAGCATCTGTCTTCTTTCCTATTGATATACATGTATTAAAGCTTTCTTTTACCAAGGCAGGTTGCCACTTCCACTTCAAACTTCCAATTTGCAATCATTGTCTTTTCATTGAGTACAACTTTTTCACATTGTATTGATATTTGTTCAACTTGGACTTCTAATATCTAGAAATGGCTGAAATGCCATCATCATTTGAATGTCAGAACCTTTAATTTTTGACTTCAATGTTGCCACTAGCTGACAGTCCTTCACTCAGACATCCTGCTGCAGGAGCCCTTTTTTTCTTATTTCATTCTGTGCACAGCTGATAGGGCCTTGCATCAAACAAACAGTTGTAACAAGTGTTTCAAAGTGATACACACAATCCTTTTCTCTGAACAATTGAAGTCTCAACACCACCGTCTTTGACACATGCACAGTTTGACACAGTCTTGCAATTCTGCAAAGTTTACAGTTATATTTTCAGAGGATTTTTTTTGCATGTTTCCTTTTCTGTTATCTGTTTTTAGGTCACAATTTGCTTAGTGTTAGGAGGCCCATCGTACTTTCTTTAAGCCAGCTTCATAGATGGCCTTATCTGTACGAATACAGTGCTGTTGATTGAGGTACTGTACGTGCTCTATATTACAATCATCACTGCTTAAGAACTTTTTATCCTTATTCCAAGGTTGGAGTCCTTTTCTGAATAGTGTAATTCTTCTTTTTTCTTGCTGACTGGTGCCTATTGATTGGAGGCATGTTATTATTTAGTTATTAAATTACTAGAACTGTCCAAACGGGACAAAATACCCCCCGCTGGGTTTTTCAGAAGTAAGTTTTTCAATAATAAAGATATGTATCAAAAACAAATTATGAAATTTTTATTCCAGTGATAACTTCCCCAAATAACCTTGGGTCAAGGTCATGACACACCCTTGGGTCATGGGCAATCTTTCAGTGAAATAAACCAAGTTTATCCATAAGAAAGATAGCGGACACAAATTATGAAATTTTTCTACCAGTGACCTTGAACTTCCCCAAATGACCTTGGGTCAAGGTCATGACACACCCTTGGGTCATGGGCAATCTTTGTGTGAAATGAGAACCTACCAAGTTTATGCATAAGAAAGATATGGAAGAATTTGAAATTTTTCTACCAACTTAATGACCTTTGGTCAAGGTCATGACACACCCTTGGGTCATAATCTTTGTGTGAAATTAAGTTTTCAAAGTGGACTGAACACAAATTATGAAATTTTTCTGCCAGTGATTTATCCGAATGACCTTTTTTCCTTCAGCAATCTTTGTGTGAAAGGCAAGTTTTCATATAAAAGATATAGCACATTTTGAAAGTTGACACACGTCATAGCAATCTTTGTGTGAAATGAGAATACCGTTTATTTTGTATCAAACATGATTTATGAAAATTTTCTTCCAGTGATTGAACTTTCCCAAATGACGTCAAGGACACAGTTATCTTTGTGTTATACAAAATGGATAAAACCGTTTAACCAATCAAATGACGTGTTACAACTGAAATTAAATTATTAAATTATAATACAGTGGTCACATGTTCAGGATTCATGTATGATAGATAGGAACATTGCGCTGAGTTATATTACATGTATGCCTTTGCATTGTGACATCAAAAAGTAATGTCAATGTCAAACAGGAAGCTTCATAAAGTCAAGCCTTTGTATAATTTTTTATAGAGGTCAGTTTTGCTTGTCCCTCACATGGTAATGCTGTGATAATGTCATACATAAAACTGTATTTTAGCACTCTTAGATAAATAATGTGTGGACAGTTATGGTCCCTTTTATCACATACTGGACTAATCTGAATCAACACCTGACTTCATAAGGAAGCTTACATAGATACATACCTAATTGTTTGTTTCTAGCTTGCTGGTTCTAGAGAATTTTTGACCTTGAAGTTTAACCTTGACATAGGGCATTCACATTTAACACAATATGTCATAAAAAATGACATCGCATCCACAAAGACACAAAAAGTGGGGGGCCTGCACACAATTCTTTGAATTTTTACTCTTTTCACCTACTCCTTTAAGAGAGAGGCATGAAACTTCACATAAAAAAGCCTTACATTTCTAGATAGGTAAAATCAGAAAATGTGAAAAGTAAGCAGCAAGTAGTAGTTCACAAAAATAAATGCCTTGAGATAAAGAATACTCAAGCCTCATGCTTCTTGTAAATATAAATACATGTACACATATACTACATAACTGTATTAACTCACCATATTTCTTTTCGAAATTCCATGGGAATATCTTCATATCCACAAGGCTTGTTATGGAGTGATAAATTTTCCAGTCTTTGTTGGAGATCTAAATACTGTTGATGGCAATTTACAACTGCAAATAAATACATGTACACTTAAAAGAAAAAATAATCATCATTTGATAAAATTTAGGTTTATGTGATCAAAATGCTGCACATTTATACAAGAGGTCCATGGGACACATTGCTCAAATGAGCACTTAATTTGGTTAAGAAAAAAATAGAAATCAGTTCAGATTTGAAAAATCTACAGGAGGAATGGAAAACTTGGATTTACACTACCTGAGGATGCTTCCATATCAATATGACTAATAAATATGACTTTGTTGTTCTTGAAAAGAACCTTATTAAAAGATTTTTCGTTATGATATATCCTGTGTAAACTTTGATCCCTCATTTTGGCCCCACCCTACCCCGCAGATCATGACTTGAACAAATTTAAATTGACACTAAGTCTTATTTGTGTAAAAAAAGATTTCATAGATGTATATGTTTCAACATTTCAATTGAGTAAAATTTGCAAAAATTCTACTTTTGTCAATTTCCCTGTTTTTCCATCACAGTGTCTCTTTAATTTTCAAAGAGATTAGCTATATACAGTAGAATACGGTTTTTCTTTAAAATGGTTTTAAAAAAAATTATTGAATCTGAATTTTCATTTGAAGATCTTTTATGAATAATCATTATAAAACTACATTACATCAAATGAAAAAGAACTGAAAATGACAGAGAACGTGAATGATCTTAAAATTGCATTCAATCAATTAAATGAATTACCTTTGCTTTGTATATCAGTCTTGTGAAATTCTGCCTCTCCAATTACTTGGTTCAGAGAAGAATCTTCCTACAATTATTCAAAATTAGAAATACATGTACATGATCTAAAGAACCCATACATTTATACATGCACTACATGAACTGGTACTTGCTACATTATTATCCTTCAGAATTAGACAGTCAATCTGATTGGTTTAGAGCAGGTCACGTGCAGGGAGACAACTCGTGATGTCTCCCTCACACGCAGGGTGACAACTGTTATTTCCCTTCAGATGACAATGAAATAGCGTTAACAGGCATGCAGGGTTACAACTGTGATGTCGCCCTTTGAATGAAACTATAGTGGTTTAAGCGAGATAACTCCTATTTATAAGTACAATTGCTAAATTTGCGGGATCGGTAAACAATAAATTCCAACGATGACGTCAAAGTTGTCTGTTGACATATTTTGAAAGTATGGAATCGGAGCAGAGTAGAATAAAACAAGAGGTTTGATTACTATTTTCTACTCTATCTAATTGCTAATTGTATATTCTTCAGGATAATAAAACTATTATGGACTGTTTAGAAGGGAGACATCATCAATTTTCAGGTCTGAGTAGGGTTGTCACCCGAGGGCGCAAGCGCAAGCGCCCTCGGGTGACAACGCTACTCAGACCTGATAATTGGTGATGTCTCCCTTCTAAACAGTCCATAATTGTATATTAATCCCCCTAGAAAGGTGTGTGGTTGTGTGGAGGGGGGGGTTGTATGTGAGGGGGAGGTTACACTTCTGTAATAGAAAATCAGAATTTCATTTATTCAAACATACTTATTCCAAATTAAGTTGAATTTGGTTCCAAGACTGTAAATGATGTATATACATATACTGGGCATATGTTAATGGATGAAAGATTGTAAAACATTGAATAAAGCTATTAAAGGTCACACAAGTTTCCAATACAGCTCAACAGAACAAAGATATATTTCACATTCCCTGTAGTCTAATTAACAAACTGTTACTAGATTCTTACAAGATTAGTTTTCAAGAATGAAACTTACATAAAATGACCTTGCATTAATTAGACGGTTGGCAATGTCTGATAATTCCTTTTGAAAGTTTTCTCTGAAAATTAAAAATAAGTAATTAACATAGCTTTAAAGTAAGAAATCAGTAAAAACTGGAGAATTCCATTTCAATACATTCAATCTTTTTTTAAATCTATCATCAAATCTATCAAGTACATGCAGATATATGCATATATCAAACTGTTAACAAAATATGTAAAACATATATATAAATCTTCTAAATTCACCTACATGTTCTCAGTTTGCCTCTCCTTTTCTATCATCAGTTTCTTGTTCAATTCTTTGATACTTTCTCTCATTTCCTGATTTGATTCTTCCATTCTAAAATAACATGAATTTAAAAAGAACTACCAATGATTAATACCCTGGTATATTGGAGGGGATTCTCTTGTAACAAAATGATTCTTTTTTCTTTCAAAAACTATGAACTGTATTGCATCTTGGATCAACTGTAGATGCTGATGACTTACAATGTAGTCATGTTCCCAGTTAATACAAGACATACAGATTAAATACCACACACTGAATAAAACATACTTAAATATTTAATAGTACCATTATCCTTTTATAACAATGCTTATGTTTTACCTATTTGCCAAAGACTGTGTCTGAGCCTCTTTAAGTTGTGCAACCTTCATGGTCTCTGAAAGAAAACATTTCACAAGTTACAAAAAAAAATTATTATTAACAACTATATATGTACAAGCATCTTTTTTTACTCAAAAATATACTTGCTATTATTTTCTCACAAACCGTTTTTGGTAAATTGTGTATTTATGAAGGATTTGTCCACAAGTTAAAAGTTTAACGTTGAAGTTGCAGATGGATTTGAACTGACAATTCTCAATAAATGTTGTGCAAATAATACTTTGATAACAGAATTACATGAATTGGTATTTTCACATTTGTCCTCTCCCCCAAAGGTGGGTGATATTAATTTTGGTCTGTGACTGTCTGTTAGTTCCTCAATCTGTCTGTGTTTCACTTTCTGTCTGTATCTTTCATTTCTAGTAATTCTACTCAATGTCTTAAGAAGCCTTTGAGCTCTTGAAATGAAATTTTACACAACTCCCTATGGCCAAAGCAAGGCCCCTATTAATTTTGAGGTCAAAAATTCAAGATCATAAATTCATGAATCTTGTCTTTTTTAACACTTTCATTTCTGCCCAATATTGCAAGAAGTCTCTGAGCGTATGCAGCAAAATTTTGAACAACAACTCCCTATGGCCGAAAGAAGAACCTTATTTATTTTGAGGTCAAAAGGTCAAAGTAATGTAAATTCATATATTCTGATTGTGTGTAAAATGTTTATTTCTAGGCAATATCTCAGGAAGCTTTTGATTTCTTGCAATTAAATTTTAAACCATAACTCCCTATGGCCCATCTGCCCTTCTTAAAGTGCCTCCCTCCCCTCAACTCTTAGATCTGCTCTTCTTTTTTCCTTCAGCAGGGGACACAGATTCTCTGAATTAGCTTGTTGAACATGTATTCATTATTTTTTTTAATTTATATCCATCTAAAATTAGTGAAGAGTCATCTTTCCATAAACATCTTTCAACTGTGATCATATTGAAGATCCTATTGCCCTTTAAGTTTTATTAAAGTAGAAATGAACTGAACAGATGCCTAAAGCCTAAAGTTTCCACATTCATTACATCTTTCTTTCTTTTTTGTGGAGTTTTATCTTAATATGCAACATTTTTTGTCATCAGAGCTTTTGATCAGTCAATAAAAATGCAATTCTAAACTTTGAGCACCCTGCTGTTCAGATTTACAAGTTCGAAAATGTCATTTGTCATTCAACAGCAAATTACCATTGGGAAAAACCACAAGAAACATTTGGTGTCAACTGTATACCATGGACAGGAAAATTTGACAAAATCAAATGGGAAAAAATATTTCAAGTGTGATAGGGTGAATATAAAAGGACTAAAATTAACCAAGATCATAAAGAATTCATAATTTTGCTTTAGATCAAATGGTTTCATATACATGAAATGCTGCAGGATAAAATTAAACCTAGTCTGCTCAGTGTCTGAAAATTGCAAAAGATTCTGTATCGATTGAAACTTGAAATGATTACATATTTATTGCAGAGTTGTCCCTAAGAAGATAGAAGGGGACATTTAAAGTAGAAAAGGGATCTGAGGTTCCTCCCCTAGTTTAGGAAGAATACCAAATGACCAGTGTTTTACACCAGTATAGGTGGGACCCCCCCCCCCCCCCCCCCCAAGTCTTTGGGATAACTTTGCCGTTGAGAAATAATACCTCAGCACATTTAATCAAAATACCTTGCATTTTTTCATGTCCTTCTTTCATCTGGGAAAACTTGTTGTTCTCTACAATAATAATTTCTAAAATAGTTATACATACTTGGTAGAACTATAGGGAAGTATAATTTATATATATCATATGACTATAAATCACAGCCATCGAAGTTAAATAAAAGGCCTTATAATATAATCTTGGAGAGCTTGTCTATGAGACAATTTTTTTTCAACAAGTTTCAAGCAACTGAATTTATAAACTCTCATTGTCGAATACCCTTGGGTGATCTCTTCTTTTACTCAACAGTAAGGACGAGATCGATCATGGGTTTCTGACAATGAGTGCTCATAAACAGTATGAATAGAAGTTTAATACTACGAATGCAGAATTTATAGAAATTGCTTTCCTGTCATAAAATGTAGTGAAATAAATATGAATAAATTATAACGGTTCATGTAAAGAGAGGGATGATCATTGGTTGACTTTGGTTGCTTTTCTCTCAAAACAGGATTAAAATTAAGGATTTTTTTCTTACCTATGTCTAGTAAATTTTCCAATTCTCTTCTTTTACTTCGCCTCTCAGCAAGTTTATTTTCTAGACAATTCTTTTCTACAATGCATTTCAGGTTATAAAAAATGTCATATTATTTATTTTCATAATAGAAGGAGAAGGTCATAGGGACTTGAGACAATCTTAGCAAAATCGGGTATATAGTATCACATGAGTATAATCCCCTATTATACTATATACCCGATTTTGCTGAGATTGTCTCAAGTCCCTGTGGAGAAAGTACAACAAATGCATTTGTGGGTTCAAAATCTGAAGCATTTTACATGTATTTAGAAGTAATTTAATTATGGTAATAAATGTAATTTATACAGTTGTTCTGCAGAGTTCATGAAATTCTTTTCCCAAGTGAATCTAAATTGTATTGAGTAACTAGGCCCTACTGTGTAAACTCGCAATTCATGATTCCTTTACACATGTAAAACGGGTGTTGCTAAAACGCGGAACGGAAAACGGAACGGAAAGCGGAACGGAACGGAAAACGGAATATATAAGTTTAGATTAAATCACTTAAAATACACAAAATTTGTCATAAACAATATATTTTAAGCACATTCAATCCCGTATTATCAAAAATAAGTTGATATATTCATGTTCACCTTTCTTTATTGACAAACAAGTTGATAAAAAAAATATCAGCAGTCTCGAGTAATTAAAGACATCATTTCTAAGGTCGATATAATGACCATGTCAACTAATTCAACTTATCATTGAGTCAAATGCTGACTGACGTTTTTCATATTAATCTTAGTTCATTTTTTATACATCGTTGATTTGACGGATTTCCCCGTTATTTACCGATTATGACAAGGAGCACGCAGCGGGTGTGACCGATCGGCAGGGGATGCTCACTCCTCCATGGCATCTGATCCCACCTCTTATGTTTTGGAGGTCCGTGTTTGCTCTGCTCCTATTTTTGTATTGTTTTATGGACTCTTGATTATTTCCATATCATTCATGAAAATTGCAAAGGTAGCAGTGACATAGAATTGTATTTGAAAGATAAGTTTATGTATGGGGGGGGGGGGGTTAAACTTATCTGAAGAGATATTACAAGCGAAAACAAAAACACAAATACATAATCAGGAGGGGGAATCAGTTCCCACTCCAATGCATGGCTTTTTGTACATTTACTTACTACTTTAATTAAGAAATTGTGGAGGTTTCAATAAACATTTCTTTAGTAAAAAAAAAAAAAGGTTGTGCCTAGAAGGGGGGGGGGGGGGGGGCAAATATTTGATATATATAGACAAACAATGTTTAAAGAGAAAGAATATGTTTTTAAAAATTCCTAAGATTACGACTAGAATAGACCTTTCCGGCAAGTTCGGATAAACACCTCTAACACGTAAAGTTAATTTGTTGTTGAACTTTTCTGTGTAAAAAATGTAGCATCTTCACATTTAATGAAGATATATAGTTTGTATGTTGCACATGCATGTGTAAGGGGTGGATATGAATGCTGAAACATTTGAGTTTATTTTTCCTTTTTTTTTTGGAACGTTTGAAAAATTACAAAAGGTCCGCCCTTCCCCTTTTGACATTAGCTCCAAACCTTTTACATGAAATTGAAATGTTCATTGCATTTCATAGTAAATTTGTGTTAAAAAAGAAGTGAAAGATCCTGGACTAAGAACATACCCACCCACCCTTCTTCGAACAAAAATTGTCTGTCTTTTTCCCCTGTCAAACTCTTTTCAAGCATAGACCTAAAACACTTTAGGTCTGTGTTTCAAGTAAGTTTACCCCCCTCCCCACTTTCAAATTTGATTATATTCTACGTCACTGCTATGTCAGCGATTTTTGTGAATAAAAGACTGAACATGACTTAACAACCTGTTTTTAATAATAGGGGATTTAATATGAATAAAATATATCATTTATGATAAAAATTGTGTATTTTAAGTGATTGAATATTAAATAATATATTCCGTTTTCCGTTCCGTTCCGCTTTCCGTTCCGTTTTCCGTTCCGCGTTTTAGCAACACCCATGTAAAACCACTAACCAGTGGTAAAACAAACCTTGCTGTATTTCTTTCAAACTGTGAAGTAGCAAATCTACTCGAAAAGTTGGTCCTGAATTACTCCCAGACATTTTCTTCTCGGAGTGCTCTCATTTATTGTCATTCACTGATTCAGCATTCACTGAATATCATCAGCCTAATAGTAATACAGATCGACAGACGATCAGAAAAGCCCGCATAAATTTGTATCTCGATCCCGATCAGAAAGAAACCTGTTTGTCCAGTGAGAACTTTTCAAGCATATTTTACTCAAATGTCTATTATCATGATTATAACACTGCTTTTGCTTTAGTAAAGCTACCTTTTTACTGTTTATTAACTGAAAGTATTTTTGATATGAATTGCAAATTGTTATGAAAGGTACGACATTTAAGGTACTCCAATCCTCAGCCATGAAGGATAACTCTTTAATTTATAATTTATAATTTAATTCAAAAAGACTTCAAATGAAGCTTGAAAATTAAATCTTTTCATGCAACAATTATCATATTTTATACCTCTTAATGTTTTTCAAGGTTCTTTGAAGTTCTCAGAAAGGTCCTATAAAAAGTCGAAATTTTCATCCCATCAAAGTGCGACATTTAAGGTACTCCAATCCTCAGCCATGAAGGATAATTCTTTTATTTATAATTTAATTCAAAAAGACTTAAAATGAAGCTTAGAAATTAAATCTTTGCATGCAACAATTATCATTTTATACCTCTCATAGGCGTCGGAAGCAAATTTAAAGGGGGCTAATTGAAAGGGGGGGGCTAAACCAACAAAAAAAAAGTAAACCCCAATTTTCGATGCCTATATTATGTATATACATTTGTATTTGCATAAAATGCTAACCCCCCCCCCCCCCCCGGTTCCGATGCCTATGCCTCTTAATGTTTTTCAAGGTTCTTTGAAGTTCAGAAAGGTCTTATAAGAAGTCGAAATTTTCACCCCATCAAAGTATTTTAAAATAACTTTCTTCAAACGCATGGAGACCTTTCATTTTTATCTCTAAAATGTGTCTGTTGATCAAATTTGAATTGGAAAATGCAATGTAGGTGTTTTTATTCGCATTTCCTGAGAATTTATTTGAGATTTACTGATATTCCCCATATGAAATGATTAACTTTAAAGACTGATGAAGTTTGAAGAATTACCGTGGGTAAAAATACAGTACATTGAGAATTCAGAAACATTATTTTGTGTATTTCAATTAGTCGATGCCTAATTTTCAGAACCTGTGGATCGGAGTACCTTAACTTTGGACAGGACATCAATGTGCAAAATTAAATTATAGCACTTGGTGGTATTTCAGAGCAATATCACAGGGTGTGTTGAACTCAAAAACATCCCCCAAGATATGAAGTCGTAATTTATTAAAAGTCAGAATATTAATCCAATCATGGGAGAATGGTGAGATTTTAATAATAACTATCCTACCTTTTTCCCATGGGAAAAAGTGAAATATCATCATCATCTACGCTATAAGGGTATCCAATAGAAAGAAACTCTACTACAGTGAATGAAGGCAATAAATGGATAGAAAACGAATGTCATGTTGTAAATGTTGTCATGTTGTAAATTTTATATTTACTGCCACCCGGTAAATTCAAAATTTACAACATGACACGAACTTCAAAACACGCGTTAAAACAAACAAACAAACAAACAAAACCCAAAAATGACATATGAATCAGCAATACGTGGTATAGTTTATGTTTTGTACAAAACAGCTGCACTTTAATATTTATTTTTCTCGAAAATGTCCAGGAGTCATCTTTTGAACTTCTTGGAACTATACAATCTGTATGGATCCTTTGATCGTACATAGGATCGCGATACAAAGGGTTGAATTTTAATTAGATTTGGAACTGTAGGAATATCCACGTATCGATCTTGTTTAGTGATATAAAATATTTTTCACGATCCGCTCCAGGGTAACAAGAAAAGCTACTGACTAGACAGAGAAGATCCAAGAAAAAGGGCAAGAAAAAGTACATTTGATCAATTCCAGTCTTATTTTTATTCGTAAATACTAAGTATGCATGTAGTCAGTTTAGGAGAATTTCGTTATTATTAACAAATAAATAAATTATACATTCTTAAAAAAATGACTTTTAAAAGGCTGAGGATGAAATAAAATACAGATTTATACATATAGCTAGAGTGTTTGCATATCTGCACAAATATTTATGCCTTGTAATATTTTCCAAAATCTATATAATGGAAATGTCATGCATGTTGAAAAATTTGATTTCACGTACATGTACCAGGTGTAAATTTTGCATTTTCTGCCATCCTGTAAATTCAAAATTTACATCATGACAGACAGAATTATAATGAAATCATTCTTCTACTAGAGTAATTAACCACATATCTTATGTTGCAAAACAGTAAATGTTTTTAGACATAGAAACAGTCCCGTAGGAAACGATATCGGGGTTGGGCAAACATTTTCAATCTGGATCGGCGAGTAAGAAAAATAATTTGAATAAAATATTTTTTAAACAAATTTAAAAATAAAAAATAAAAGCCATCATCAGACGTAATTAATTACTGGCACATCCAATCTATAGAGAAGTATTTTTTTCTGTAGAGTACTATATTTGGTAGAATTATCCCCCGGTTCCGACACAGTAATAAAGTAAATCTTATGAAAAATTAAACGCCCAATTGTATTTTTTTTTTCATATATCGGATTTACAATCTTTTTTGTTTTATATGTAATTCATCATACCCTTACACACAAGAATATAAAAACTGACAGAGAAAATACTCTTTTGAAATTGATAGATTTATTTATACAGTTTCATACAAAAAAGCTAGAGGTATTGTGAGCACTGAGCTCACTAAATGATACCCCTTACTCCCATATGATTATAATGGCAATGTCCATGTGTCTATTTGTCCGTCCGTCCGTATGTTACGCTTTGGGGTACTTCTCTTATATAACTGAATGAAATTTACGAGACTTTCACCGCATCTTTGTAACATAATGCCACAGGCACCTGGCGTTACTTATTTTTCTTTTAATAAATAAAATATACAAGGTATATGTATATTTTTTTTATTAAAAGAAAAATAAGTAACGTCAGCAGGTGTCTGTGCATAATGCCATTGTGCACCCTCTATTTTTACTTTTTGATCCTACACATATTTTGGGTTTCCCCTAGCAAATCATGATCACTGCCATTTTTCTATAAAATTGAAGGGTACCCATCTCTTATCCGCAACTCGTCCTATACCACTGAACAGAATTTAATGATACTTTCACAGGTTCTGTACTACATAATGCCATTGTGCATCTCTTATTTTACTTTTTTTTGATCTGGCACTTATTTAGGGTCTTCCGTGGCAAAAACATGGACTTTGCCATTATAAACGTATTGGGAGCGGGGGAGGGGGATCACGGGGGGTATCATTTAGTGAGCTCAGTGTTCACAGTACCTCTTTTTATTTTCTCAAGATTAAGTCAGTTTGCAAGATAATTATGTCAACATGCAATTTCATTCAGTGGTATAAGAGGAGTTGCGGATAATTAAGAGATGGGTACTTCAAAGTGTAACAGACGGACGGATGGACGTACAGCTAGACTGACGGACGTACAGACGGACATCCCGATCCTCAATTTTCAGTCGCCCGCGTGGCGCAGTGGTTAGAGCGTCTGTTCTAGAATCACGTAGTAAGGAGTCGATCCTAACGTCGCGGGTTCGAATCCCACTGAGGGACGTGGAGACCGGTCCTTCGAATGAAACCGTATAAACCGAGGTCCCGTGTCGCAATAGGTGCTGGCACGTAAAAAAAGATCCCTCCCTGCTCAATGGCCCTAAGCGCCGATATAGCCCTCCACCGGCTAGTGGTGGCGTCTCCACATGAGTGAAAAATTCTCAGCAGGGACGTTAAACAACATACAATCAATCCCAATTTTCAAGCGGGGGTAAATAATGTTTATAATGTTGAATTTTTAATTCCATGGGGCCTAAGAATTTAAGTTCGCAAACTTTTTGTATTTAAATTATAGACTCTATATTCTCTAAATGATTGAATACACATGTATATGGGATAAAGATATATTGATTCAAGAGAGTGAATATAGTTGAATTCTCAATACAAAAATACATACGACATATAAATTCCTCGTCTATGCCCTAGAGTTCTAAGTTCATAGACGAATTTATTGACAATATTCACCGGGTGATGCTTTCCTAGATTCCACAGAAACCGCAACTTTACTAATTTTTGTGTTATTTTGTTGATTTGGTCGGTTGCCTTGAGCTAGTACATGTATATCTAGAATTTTTGGGGATCCACAGCAATTGATTGCCTCCCTATATGCATTCAACACATCTTTATTCATAAAACCGTAGACAAAGCTATTTACACAACTGTTTGCGTAAGCGGGTACCTGTAAAGTGCGAAACGAAATAGAAACGAAACGAAACGAAACGAACTGAAACGAAACGAAATCTGCCGAAACGAAACGAAATCTACCGAAACGAAACGAAACCTACAGAAACGAAACGAAATCACGACGAAACGAAACGAAACCTAACGAAACGAAACAAAACTATCAAAATGTTTGGGTTTTTTTTCCAAATCAAGGTACATGTATGTAATTATATATGTTTAACTGCATGTGGACTTTTTTTTTAATCAAATAAAATTTATATATATTGTTAAAGCTCTTGTTAATATAAAATTTTTAATTATTGATAAATTATGCTCCCTTCTCAGTTTAATGATGTATTTACATGTTCACCAGCTGCAAATATGCACGAGCGTACTATGCAAGTATAATTTCAATATGTGCAGTATTTTCTAATTTCTATATCTTACTCTTATTTTCATTCCTTATTTATCTAGATACAATATATCTATCAAAATTGATGTTGTTATATGTAAAGGCTCGTTTATGTACGGGTCGAAATAAAGTCACTGTACTGTTGTATTGTGAATGTCTTAAAACAATGGATAAACCAGCGACTTAGAGTATTTAGGTGTCTGATTTTATTGTTCAGTTATACATGTAACTACAACCGGAATCTTGTGTATCCTTTCTACGTACATACAGTCCTATTTTTATCGAGGTAATTTTCGAGGAAGAAATGAGTGGTTTGCAATAAAGAGGCTCCATATGAGAGACGTCGAAAACGATTTAACTGACAAGAAAAAAGTCTCTCAAAGCATACGATGTCAATTTTAAGTAGGTAAATTATCCAGTAAGATATTAAAAAATATGACATAGGTGTTGGAAGGGGAGCGGGGTGTGTTAGCCCCCCCCCCCCCAACTTTTCTTTTTTTGCAAAGATATATATTATATAGGCATTAACCTTTATTTTGGTTAACCCCACCCCCACCCCCTTTTAATATCCTTCCGACACGTATGCCTATGTATGAGCTTGAAGCAAAGCTGTGGTGCTTGAACTATATACATTTCATATGAAGTAAAAATAGACAATATAATCATTCTGAAAGTTTTGTTTCGTTTCGTTTCGGCAGGTTACGTTTTGATTTGGTTTCGTTTCGTCTTGATTTCGTTTCGTTTTGGTAGGTTTTGTTTCGTTTCGGTAGATTTCGTTGGCAGATTTCGTTTCGTTTCAGTTCGTTTCGTTTCGTTTCGTTTCGATTTCGTTTCGCACTTTACAGGTACCCTGCGTAAGCAAGATAAACAGAAGTTGCATGAACTTCGGGAGGGATTTGTGAATGTTCATCATAAAAAGTAGCCAACACCCCGAAGAGACTGTACATCAGAAGGTATAGAACAAAAACCACAAATGTCGATTTGGTCGATCGTACATCTTTTCTGAATCGTAGCTGTCCAATTCCGTTATTCCAGGAGAATTTTAGTTTCTCTTTGTGCCGTTGTATGAAGACAAAAATCTTGTAATAACAAACCATCGTAACACTGCTGGGGAGAAACAGACAGACAAACAGGTAGGCTACGGAGTACGACTGGCTGACATAACGGTTAAAGACGCACATTTGCATGGTTGGATCAAAGATTAAGGAATCTTCCATACATAGGAGAGGGATTGAAAATAAAAATCCTACGATCCAAACACCAGCAATAATTAACGAAACAGAGGTCTTTGTGTAAATTCTCGAACATAACGAATAATGGCAGATTTTGACATATCGATGAACCGCTATCGTTGACACCGATAAAACCGATGAACAAAAGACGATATTGGCAATCATTCCATTGAATCTACATAATGAGTCGGGGAGTCGGGCACCTTTATTGAGGAGAAAAACGAGATTGAAGGGCAAGAGATAACTTGTGATGAGAAAATCAGCTACAGCCAAATTTCCTACAAAGGTATTATGGATTATTCGGAGACGTCTAATTTTCAGTAATGTCCAAAGGAACAAGGTATTCGAAGGGATTCCAAAAATTAATAATATTATGACAACTATGGTAAAAACAATCACAGCTGTGTCTGATATTTCCCCTTCAAAGTTGACTTCCATTCCACCTGTAGGAAAATCCTGGTTATTATATAACGAGTTCCCGTTTATAAATTGATGAGTGTCGGCTGAGTTTATCTTGACTTTATAATAGCATTAAGCTAACAGGTTCAAATTTTTAAGTAGGCGAAAATATTGATTTGGAATTAAGATTTGACTGCTCCAATCTTTTAAGTTGTCTTTCGCATAGATTATACTGTACTGAATTGTAGCATCCGGGAAAATTAAAAATAAGTATTGATAAGATGTACAAAACTTGCATACATATTAGTTGTAAGAGCATGTTTCCATGATAAAAAGCGCGTACAACGGGTAGTTCGAAGAAACTGGATTTAATTCTGAACAATATTTATAAATTTCATTCAAATTGTGTTAATCTATAACACAGGCGCTTGGCGTTTTTAACCTCTCTTTTCATAAATATAAATATAGCATAGGGGATATTTTTATTTATGAAAAGAAAGGTTAAAAACGTCAAGCGCCTGTGATCTATATATAATAAGGTTTAAGACCATTTCATTTATCGTCCATCTTGTTTATACCATAGGCGCTTGTTTCGGGATGGTGTATTTTGTGTATTATTTGTTTTTCTAGGTGTGTCTGAATACTTTGGTTTATACCATAGCGCTCATTGTACACCCTATTTAGAGAGTTGGGAGGGGAGCTTACCCCAAAAAAACCCCTTAATTGATGAACATTAAAAGAAAAAAAAATCACAAAACCGAAAATCCTAATATAATGTATCCCTGCATGTATCCTATTTCTCGAGAGGATAAGAGATCCCAGGGGGGATAAAGGTTCAAACTTCTTCCAGTTCCAAATTTTATTTATTATTATACAGTACCCTACCCCCCCGGGGGGGGGGGGGGGGGAGCCCCCCCCCCCCCCCCCCCCCCCCCCCCCCCGGGGGTTAAGGTTCAAACTTCTTCCAGTTCCAAATTTTATTTATTATTATACAGTACGCGTGCTACATTAAATTAGCCTTATTTATAACCAAGACTCGGTCTTCCACTGAACATGCTTATATATATTTAAAAATAGTAAAATGTCGTGTTTGGAAAAGAGTGAATTTCAAATTCACTAACCCCCCCCCCCCCCCCCCCGTTCCGGCGCCTATGGGAAGATGAAGATAATTCTCGGGTTCGGCATTCCAATATTGAATCTGCACATTGATTACGAAAGGTTGCCGGTGTTGTCAGTCAAATCAACACTAAATCGTTACCGTAATCGGCATTAAAAACGCCTTGAATCGAGACTGATTAATTTTATTTAGTAAGGTAAATTGTAAAATGTTCTCAATTTTATTTGAACCGTAGGATTGAAAACACAGGAAATCGGCTTGAGCAAACTCGGTCAGCTGTTGGTGTTTACAAATGGAGACGGGATCTCTTCATCACATCGAATTCGGAGTCTCAAATGGAGAATCCTTCATAAATTCCTTTAAACAGAAATTCGGTTTTGTGTGTGTGGCATATAGATCTCGCCAATACTGTAAACAGTGGGTGCTTAAAGCAGGAAAAGCAACATTACTGGTGACTGAACCAGATTCGAGATGTCACCTTGAAAACACTTTAACAGAAAACGTGACAAAAATAACGGCCAACGACCCATTATTTAACTGTTGGTGGACTTTGGAAAGTAATAAAGATCATTACAAGGATTCAGTGTTTAATATTGCTCTTAAAGTGACAGATTTAAAGCAGGTTATCAAAAATGTAGTGAAAGGTGGTGGGGAGGTAATTGCATCACCTCAGATTCTGAAAGATGAACATGGAACAGTAGACATTGCTGTTGTGAAATCTTGTGTTGGTAATGTGTATCATACATTATTAAGTTATAATGACTATTCTGGTGATTTTCTACCAGGGTTTAGCTCACCTAGAAGCAATCTGATTGAAGAGAATGTGAATTGCAATGGCCTTGTGACACACATAGATCATATAGCTTTCGTATGCGAACAAGGCACAACACCCCAAATACTTCAGTGGTACGAGAAATGCTTTAGCATGAAGAGGTTTTTCATCAACAAGTAAGAAATTTGTATTTTCCATAAAACCCCCAATCATTCACATGTTTACATCATGCTCATTTCAGTACACCAGTTAAGCGACTTTTTAAATTTTGTGATCTCAATAAATGGAATCCGAATAGCGTAGAAAATAAACCTTATAATGTGTATTTTTGACATTTTTATACAGCAATGAAGATGAAGAGGAGGGATTTCTGATCAGTGACACAGGAATAGGGATGAGGATGAAGGCGATGGAATACTGGAGATGTTCAGAGACCGGCCTTACCTCAGGGAAAAGTCAAGACTCCATCAGATTTGTCCTTGTAGAGTCCCTAAAGGGCCAAGGTACAGAAGCTAGAGCCAAACTAGTGAATGAATTGATTTAATGTTCTTATTTAATCTGAAAATCTAGAGTAGAGATTTTCACCTTACTTCAATTCTAATTCACCATGTTCACCCATTTGTCTAAAAGATATTGCATGTACAGTTGAACTTTAATATCTCAAACATTTATATCTCAAATACCACGGATAAGTAATTGTTGAAATGATTCAGAAGCCCCAACACAAAATTCTTAAGTATTTTACCCCAAACATCTTGAATCCTCTGATATCTTGAATTATTTTCTCTGTCCCATCAAATTCAAGAAGGTATCTCTGTTGCCACACATAACAGTGAAATTCTACTACATTTAGTTCATTTCATTTGCTTTCATTTTATTTTCTTTCTAAGGAGCAAATCAGGTGGACATTTTTCTGGAGGACCACAGTGGCCCTGGGGTCCAGCATGTGGGGCTGTATACCCCTGATATCATGACAGCCGTCTCCACCTTCAAAGAGAGTGGTGTCCAGTTTGTGGAACCACCCCCAGCATACTACACAGATGTGAGTAAAAAATATTCTCTTTTTTGTATTGGAGAAAATTTTTCTTTTTGTAGTATTTATTGGAATCCCTTCCAGTAATTTTTCCCGGTTTTATCCTGCATTTTTTGAATTACACTCTTGGACTTGTTAAAGCCTTTTTGAAAAGCTACAAAACAATGTGTATTTATTATACATTTTGTCTGAAATAATAATCCAAATAATTTTATATTGATGTGCATTGGAAAGTTTTAACATTGCTCTTTTCAGCTGCAGTTTGCAAATTAGCCATAACAGAGAACATGCCGGATTGACATATAAATTTATATTACTATTTAGCTTTATGTACTTTATATACATGTAGGATGTAAAGCTGTCAGAGATACAGAAAGTGGGATTCCATGTGGAGGATCTCAGAACTAATGGGGTGTTACTAGATACTGAGGCTGATGCTGATCAAGAGCTTGAAAACCCCTGCCAAACTGATAGGTAAACAAAAGTTTCTGTATGAAAGATTGCAAGCACCACATGTACCATATATACCACCAAACATTTTTTAGAAGCAAATTACTTCTAGCTGTATTGATGACTGCAAACAAATCCTTTAGACCTTTAGTGAAAATTGTTGTATGTATGAAACACATCAAAATGACTTATGAAGTTGTGTTTACATAATGGTATGTACACTGTAATTGTTTAAAAGGAGCAAGTTTGATTGTGCTTTTCTTTTCCATGTGTATACTGTTTCCTGTTCCTTCTGCTCATTATCAAATGTTTCCATATTTATGTCAAAAATTGCTATAATCCTTGAAAAAATATTGGAAAATTTCCCCTCAATTTGTTGGTTATTTTGTTTGAGGGTGAGCATAAAGTATTTATATATATATTGTGAATATTTTTTTCAGATACCTGTTACAGAAATTTACAAAACCAATTTTCAGCAAAAGGACATTTTTCCTGGAACTTATTCAAAGAGTAGGAGCCCAGGGATTTGGTGCAGGCAACATCACAGCCTTGTGGAGGGCAGTCCAGGCTTACATGACTGAAAATGGCAGTTCTTGACATCAATTAAAGCATAAGAAAATGAAGTTTAAAACCTTTAATACAAAGTATTTACCTCAGAGTGCCAATAAATCCTGTCTCAGTTATTTTGCATTTGTCTTATATGTGTGTAAAGGGTTGATACCTTGGAAGTACAGAGCAATGCTTTATGCCTTACTGACATTTATATAAATCAAAATGTTCAAAATATGCCGTATATAATCCAAAGAGCCACAAACTGATCATATGAAAACTGTTTCATAAAAGCCTAATACAGCCTTAGTTGAAGGATCATTGATGTTGGAGTTGTGGCTCTTGTCTTAATTTTGCAGCCTGACGAAATGCATATATGTAATAGGAATAAGACATAGATCTAGTATAAGGAATAGCAAAAATTCCATAGTGTAGTTGACATCTTCAGTATTTTGTATTCAAATGCACCGTTACATACAAATTTAAACAAAAAGCTTAAATCTTGTAACTAGTAAAATATTACATTTTAAAATAAATATATTCACCATATTTCACTTGAAGTGTGCAAGATGTGAAAATTTGGAAGGTACGTTTTATTTTAATTCCTGGTGATTATTGGTGCATCACAGAAGTATTAGGAATTCATAACTCAAAATACTTCAACATAATAAAAAGAATTTTTGTTGATTTTTATTTTAAAACATTTTAACAATAACCTTTTCCAATTCAAGATGGCTCATATACTAAAATATATTATACGTATAATTAAAACTCGATCATAGATTGTTCATACATTAGATTATGCACATATCTCAATTAATTAAAAAAATTAATATTCCTTATAAATCAGTGTACCTTACCCAACATTTGAAGCAGATACATAAATTTTCAAATCAATAAATGGTATTTATAATCATGGTAGATAACTCATATGGCAATTGTATTCTGCATACCAAAGCAGGAAGAAAGAATTTTATAAGCAAACTGCTGGAATATGGAATGTTTAAAACGAAAAATATATATACATGTACATTATCAAAGAAAGCTATAATTCTCTTACAATGCATTGAATTTTAGAGTAATTATTATTCATACCATAATAGTTAAATATATCAGATCCCTACTGAGCTAGTCTGTGAAAAAGATTATTTTATTGTCATTTTGAATTTATTTATTTTTCACAAAAGTTAAACAATTTGCTATATAAAACTAAAACCGAAGACAATGTTTTCTAGAATTCTACCTTGAGGGATTTTCTGGACAAAGAAATTGTAATCTGATGTACAACTTATTTAACTCTGCTAGGATATATGTACAAATATATTTTCCTAAAATCACATACAAGATTTTTAAAAGATATTTAGATAATAATAAGCTTTTGACAAACTTCTGGACACATAAAAGAAGACAGCCCTTCACATACATGGTATAAACACACACACAATGTACAAACATCATTGAATATAGAGTGTTTATAGATACCTGTTTGAATATCAACAGATATATAACATTTTCAACAAGTATACATTCCAACAATATTATTTGAATTCTAAAACAGCAGTAAAGAAGAAGAAATTGGATAAATGTATGTCTCTAAGTAATACTACGGTACATGTATGTCCATATGAAAGTCATGTTTCACCTGGAAGAAAAACATGCCAAAATCACATTGTGTTGTTAAAGCTTCACCCCTTTCTCACAAAAAATATTCTAGGATAAAGGTGTGTATGATATTCAGCAATTTGGATTCAGAAACTGGAGTCTTGCAGAAAAAAATCATGGTACAACATTATTCCTGGTATAATGATAATGTACATTAACTATATAATGTATGCAAAACACTTGACCTATATAAAAATATTTGGTAATAATTAATAAATAATCATTTGATACTAAATGAACACATTGTGCATTTACAATCTGTTGCTGATAATGCAAAAAGAGTAAATGACCTTCAATGTATTAACTGTGTACAGTTACATGAGTACATACATGTACATGTATCATATGAGAGTAAAATGAGTCAAAAATGTTGTAGCCATACACATATTCGTACCAGTAAAGCTAATGAAAATCCAATACATGGACAGACTGCAGTTAGCATTGCACAAGCCAGCAAGGTTAATATAAAAAAACCCAGAAGTCTCTGTCGAGACTGAAGCTCTACTGGTTTGTACTTATAGCAAAGGAAGAGAAAAGTACTTAAGCAGTTGGAAATTGAAACTTTTCAACAGCAATAAATAGAATAATGATCCTTGATTAAGTCTCTTTATGTTCTTAGTGCAGTCTACTTACATGCCACATTTATATCATAATCAAACTAAAATTGTATTTGGAGTAGCATTTTGAAAGAATTTCACAGAAATTTCTATTTTTAGTAACCACGGCAACACCGTTCATCGAAATCAAAAACCGATACACAGAATTATATATCTTAGTGTAGTCTGCTTTTGTGCCAAGTTATATTGAAATCAGACTAAAACTGTAGGAGGAGTAGCATTTTGAAAGAATTTCACAGAAATTTCTATTTTTAGTAACCACGGCAACACTGTTCAACGAAATCAAAAACCGATATACAGAATTGTGTATCTTAGTGTAGTCTACTTGTGTGCCAAGTTATATTGAAATCAGACTAAAACTGTAGGAGGAGTAGCATTTTGAAAGAATTTCACAGAAATTTCTATTTTTAGTAACTGCGGCAACACCGTTCATCGAAATCAAAAACCGATATACAGAATTGTGTATCTTAGTGTAGTCTACTTGTGTGCCAAGTTATATTGAAATCAGACTAAAACTGTAGGAGGAGTAGCATTTTGAAAGAATTTCACAGAAATTTCTATTTTTAGTAACCACGGCAACACCGTTCATCGAAATCAAAAACCAATATACAGAATTATATATCTTAGTGTAGTTTACTTTTGAGCCAAGTTATATTGAAATCAGACTAAAACTGTAGGAGGAGTAGCATTTAGAAAGAATTTCACAGAAATTTCTATTTTTGGTAACCACGGCAACACCGTTCAACGAAATCAAAAACCGATATATAGAATTGTGTATCTTAGTGTAGTCTACTTGTGTGCCAAGTTATATTGAAATCAGACTAAAACTGTAGGAGGAGTAGCATTTTGAAAGAATTTCACAGAAATTTCTATTTTTAGTAACCACGGCAACACCGTTCATCGAAATCAAAAACCGATACACAGAATTATGTAGCTTAGTGTAGTCTGCTTTTGTGCCAAGTTATATTGAAATCAGACTAAAACTGTAGGAGGAGTAGCATTTCGAAAGAATTTCACAGAAATTTCTATTTTTAGTAACCACGGCAACACCGTTCATCGAAATCAAAAACCGATACACAGAATTATGTATCTTAGTGTAGTCTACTTGTGTGCCAAGTTATATTGAAATCAGACCAAAACTGTAGGAGGAGTAGCATTTTGAAAAATTGTTTACAGACAGACAGACGGACAGACAGCTAGACAGACGGACGGACGACGGACGCATTACTATCGCATAAGCTCTTCTGGTCTCTGACCAGTAGAGCTAAAAATTATCAAAGAAAACAAAAAATTTAAAGATTAATGTGTCCATAAAAGTTTGCAAAATACCTGATGCATTAAAATTACTTTAATTCAACAATCATTCTTTTAGTTTTACATTTGTATAACATGCTTAAGGCACCATCTGAGGTATATATCCTTTAATACATGTACAGATTTTCATCACAAATGAAATATTAAAAAAAGAAATCAAAATAATTACTTTTCAAAGTCAATTATAAATAAAATGAACGGAATTTTCAAATCCTATCTCCTTCAGCAATATCTTTCCTATCAACAACATTGCGTAATTGGTCCAATGCATCTATGATTTTCTGCTTTGCCTTCATTCTCCCCTCTCCCATGGTTGGATGAACACATTCATTCAGTAGATGTTCTAAATCAAAGTCATCTCGAGCGTAGTTTGGCATATCGTGGAGAAGTCCATCGGGCATGCCTAGATCACCCTCGTTAGCGTATTTAGAGAGGAGATTGCGACAGGCTGCGAAGTAGTTGTGGTCTGACTCTTTATGAGCACAGAGATCTTCTGTTGAGAAAACCAAGCAGTTCTTACCTCCGCAGTCGTCAAATTTTGATTCCAGTAAATCGTCGTATCCTTTGGGTTTAACTGAAAGATTTGCATCATATTATATTAAAAATGTTCAAATCAAGCCTTATTAGAATTTTATACTTCAGCAATGTATTAGCAATGTATCATTTTTTTTTGAAAGATATAGTCTCATAACTGCAACGGTGTGTGCAAACAAATTGAGTGATGCACGTTAGTCGCAGTATGAAAATTTGTTTGCATACACTGTTGCATTTATGAAATTACAATTTATATCTTTCAAAATATGATTCATTGCTTTTATTTACATTTTTTAACTCTCATCTTGACTTAAAATGTGATTTGTATTTTAAAACCAATGTATTATTTTGTGTGTAAACTACCTTTTTGGATGGCCAGTCTATCCACCACTACCACATTCTCTACGTCAATAACCGTAACTCTTCCTGTGTCGTCCACCACTAGGTTTTCGTAACTTAAATCTGTCCAGTATAAGCCATAAGGATTGCCATGATTTGTCAGTCTTTCTGCAATCTTCATTATTTGGTATGCCAAATCAGCCTTTCAGTAGAAATAAAAACAAACGAGTGTTATATGAGGTTTATCTCACAGTTGCTTGATACATGTATATGTATTGCAATGCATAGCATTGCAGTCCATGTTTATTGGCTTCACATGTTAAACTTAAAATATCACAGTTTTCACAAACAAATTATCATGTAAACAAACATTGTTTTTAAGTATTGTGCTGCTGTGTGTTTCCTTTCACCTCTACTGTTAAATCTACATCTATTATATTTTATCATCGCCTATAGATCATATATAATGTCAAAATATAGGATTTGCAAATACATGTACTAGCATTTCAAGAATTTTGAGATTTAGTAAGCATATTTGTACCTTTACTTCATCCCCATTCAATATGATCTGATTAGAAACACATTGAATCTTGAATTTGCATGTTAATATCATTTTTAAAGAGCTTGAAAAGTACATCTCAATGTCATTATATGGACATATATGTTACTTAATATAGAAAAGATCTGTACCCTTTTATGCCATGGTGCATTGTAGTAATTATTTAGAGGCTCTCCTTCATTGCTGACAACAATAAACCTTCCACAAGCTCCGTAGTACTCAGGAAATGGCCAACCTTCACTCTTTGAGAATGTCTGCAATCATAATAGCCGTGATGATGATGATGATAGGTATAAACATTAACAATCTAATTAAAATTAGATCTTTGATCCGCTCCAGTTTGATCTTTGTGTAGCGATGTAACTGGAGCAGATCAAAGATCTAATTTTAATTAGATTGAAACATAAAATTATTGAACTTGAAATTGTGTTATTTACACTAAATGAATACACTGGTATTCATGTTCATGTCTGCTACATTGTTATACTGATAAAATTAAAAGAAAATTGACCTTGGAAAATGGTCATAATACTTAATATTTAATAATGACTTTTAATATATATTTCCATATTTGCTATGCTATTTACTTCACACATGAAGAAAAGAAACATATAAATATACCTGTAGTATAAGAGGCTCCGGATTTACCATAGCAGTTGCATATATCTGTAGTTTATCCCTAAACATCATTTCACGTCGCTCAGGGTAGACCTTTTCTTTATAATATCTATACATTCTGTCTATCAAATTATATGTCGGACAGGCAAACATGTAGTTTAGACCTTTTAGGTGTTTTGGTTGTAATCCCTCCCTCTGAATTGAATTTGTCACTTTCATTTTGTCAAGCACTCTTGCAACATCACATCCAATAGGTCTGTTTGCCTCTGTGCAAATTTTGTTGTCAATATTTTCCCATTCCCTGTTATGAGCTAACTTCTTTAAAATAACTGGTTTGTCTAATCCCTCATGATGTCCTAGATGGACATTCTTTAAATTCACAAAATCTAAAAATTTAATTCTGGACCATCCTTTCATTCTTACCAAACCATCCTTTAAATCCATGCATATACTGTGTCCAAAACATGCTGGACATTTATCAGTCTGTAAATATGACTCCTCGGTCAAGTGATTCTTAGATAGAGATAAAAATAGGCTTCCATAGAGGTAGAATGAAAGGACGGCGGCAAATATAAGAAAGCACTTGGCCCTCGCTGGTAGCCTCCTTAGTCTGAAAGTAGCGTCAGATACAATAGAGTGAACACGAGTCATAGAAGCCTTTGATGGTCCTGATCTTCTATTTCTAATTTCTGCCGAAAGCATGGTTGGAAAATGCCTCTACATGGCATATGTTTGTACTGTTATTTTCTGTAGAGAAATAAAACATATATAAACATTAACATGTATTATGTTAGAGCTTCACATATGCATGTTATGATTGACATAAACAACTTGAAGATACATGTATTGCATTCCTTTCAAAACTAGAACTGTCCAAACGGTACAAAATACCCCCCGCTGGGTTTTTCAGAAGTAAGTTTTTCCATAATAAAGATATATTATATATCACACATGAATTATGAAATTTTCCTTCCAGTGACCTTGAAGTTCCCCAAATGACCTTGGGTCAAAGTCAAGACACACCCTTAGGTCATGGGCAATCTTTGTGTCAAATGAGAACCTACCAAGTTTATTCATAAGAAAGATATGGACCAGACACGTAATTTTACTTCCAGTGACCTTGAACTTCCCCAAATGACCTTCGGTCAAGGTCATGACACACCCTTGGGTCATGGGCAATCTTTGTGTGAAATGAGAACCTACCAAGTTTATCCATAAAAAAGATGTGGACCGGACACAAATTATGAAATTTTACTTCCAGTGACCTTGAACTTCCCCAAATGACCTTGGGTCAAGGTCATGGGCAATCTTTGTGTGAAATGAGAACCTACCAAGTTTATCCATAAGAAAGATATGGATTGGACACGAATTATGAAATTTTTCTTCCAGTGACCTTGAAGTTCCACAAATGACCTTGGGTCAAGGTCAAGACACACCCTTAGGTCATGGGCAATCTTTGTGTGGAGTAGTAGATTCTAATGTCCCTCCGTAAGAAAGATACATGTACGGACCCGGACATGTTTGCACAGACAGACGGACAAGGTGATTCCTATATACCCCCACAAACTTTGTTTGTGGGGGGTATAAAAAGTGAACCAATTTACCAATTCATCATTTCTGGAGTTTTTTGAAACTTATAGGCCTACTTAGAAAGAAAAGATTTTTCAACGCATCATTCACAGTAAACCTTAAATTAGTGTTTGTTGTAAAGGTTGAATCAATGCATGTTATTAATATTTATGCTTGCTGTCAATCATTTTGCCCTATTCTAAGCAGGTCCAGTACAATCACTAGATTTAGCTACGTAGGTAAAATTACCTATATAGACTTATTTACCTAACTCAGGTAGCTTTATTATTTCAATGCAACTTTTCAACATTTTTTGGGTAACTGTCCCCCGTCTTGCGTGTGATGAGGCATGGCTGAGTATGATAGCTTCACATTGTGCTGGATGATTACCAACCTAATATATTGAAGGTGCAACCGTTCGGGCGAGCGCAGATAGTTATTCAGTCTTCATTTAGATTGGGCTCGTCAAACCGCAAGTGACTTTCGGTGCGTCTAAGACTCTGACATCACATGACGTCGTATGCATTTTGCTTTACCAAATCGAAGCCTGAACAGAGCTGATTTTAATGAAGAACTGTTTTATTGACTATATTTTCCTGCAATAAATTCATCAAATCAATGCAAGTTTATTATTCATTTTATTATTATTCTCGCGAGAACATTGCTTTAGCTTCTGTGTACGAAGCTATGCATTGTGGGTCCAAATTACTGCTGAAAAAAATTCTATCAAATGAATGTGCAGTAGTCCAAGTTTTCTCTTCGCCAAAGCATTGTCGTTAGAGCTCGCAGTGAAGCGACGCTCACTGCACTCGCTATTATCATGTTAACCGGAACTTGACTTCTTTGTCATTTCATTCGAGGAGTAACTGTTTTAACTGTCATACATAGCCCCAAAACTTTCAGAACCTTGATTTCAATTGCACAGAAAAAAACATCTCTTCAGGAGTGATTTTTTCATGAATTGCTTTCAGATAAGTTCAAAGTTGAAAATGATCACTGCATCAAACTTCAAAGTGAGATTTTCTGCACATTCTGAGAAAAATGCATTTTTATAGAAATAAATTGATTTGGTAGTAAATTAAGCTACCTCAGGTAGGTAAATAAAGCTAAGTAGCTTAGTAGGTAAATCAAGCTACGTAGCTAAATCTAGTGATTGTACTGGACCTGCTAAGGAAAGATAAAATATCAACTGATCAATATGGAATATAGCTTTTTCTGAAACAATAGCAAAAAATAAATGAGTACAATCATTGAAAAAACTCACTTTGATTTCTACTAGTAGATATATCGTATCAAAATTATCATATGCAATTCAATAGCTTTTAAATTTTGGACTATTTTATTTTTTTTTACCAGGAAAAGATTGGGAGCTTCCGTGTCACTCAATCTCTTTCTTTAGCTACAAGAAAATTACAATATATCAAGCGCACAAAAGAACCACATCAGCTTTATATAGCAGTTAAACCGGAGTTGGTATTCCGATCCGATTAAATTTTGTTGACTGCTTATAAAATCAATAAATTCACCTTTCCTCCCTTTTAGACTATTAATGGGTAAGTTAAATAACAAAATAAAAGCAAGAAGGTATTTTTATTTTGTTTTCAATATCATGGAACATTTAACGAATAAGCGAGAAAATAAAATTTCGCAAAACTTTTTTCACTGAGTAATTAATGAAAATGCAAATATTCTAATGCCTTTTATCATTTCGATGACTGTATTCAGACATATCTAAAAAAAAAAAACAATATACAAAATACTCCATACTGAAACCGAGCGCAAATGACTGCAAATTCAGACACTTCTATCACTCTTTTGTCAGACAGGGTACCCCTCCCTTCCTGGTTTATAAAGTGACTATGTATAGTACACATTAATTTACGATTAGAGACCCCTTCCTAACTGACCCTTTTGCACAGTCTGAAAAAAAGATCCCATTTCTCCCAGACCATCGAGCTATATACATATCTGTTCTAGTACTAGCTGCAGATCTGTAGTGTTGCGGTTTTATATATTAGTGTTTGACCATAACGCTATGTACAGATCCCGTAATCCAAAAAAGGTTCAATTTACGGCGCAAGATTTTTTGCTCGCTTTTGGGGAGAATTTCTCCACTTTCCAGCATCGGTCCTTCAACTACCTCTCATTCCCTAATTCTAGACACATTCTGTAGTTAATTAATATGTATATTTTATCCACCTCCCAACCCTTTATACATGTAGTTGTCTCTACAAGTGATAAACTCGCTTGATTAATATTATTTGTTAGATTGTTGAAAACTGACTTCAAGCGAGTTTATTGCCTGTAGAGACAACTATAAAGGGTTGGGTGGATAAAATATACAATATAAAATATTGACTACAAAATGTGTCTAGAATTAGGGAGTGAAAGGTAGTTGATGGACCGATGCTGGAAAGTGAAGAAATTCTCCCCCAAAGCGAAAAAAAAATCTTGCACCGTAAATTGCACTTTTTTTGCCTTACGGGGTCTGTATAGCGTTATGGCCAAAGACTAATATATAAAACCATACCGCTACAGATTCGCAACAATATTAGTACATGGCCCCCTTTAGCAGTCCACTATAATACAGACTTTCAATTGTTCAATAGATAATTACAGATCAAATGAAGTTACGCTGATGTAACATCCTAATAAGATGTAGTTTGCCTATAGTGAAAGTACTCCCAGATATTCTTAGACAAAAATAAGAGTACGGATTTGAAAAGAAATTTGATGTTTTCCAATGCAAAATATACAGATCAACTTTTTTTTTTTAGAAGAGTTCTACGGAAATAGATATTAATGTTGAAATCTAGTCTGATTTTTGTAGTAAATTCAATTTGCACAGTTGAGTTACCTCTCTTTGAAGAAAGAAAATGCAATTTGGTGTACATTCATATTTTCATATTCATGAAACAGATTGAATAATGTTTGAAATCCTTGTCACCCACAGTTTTTGTGAGTGATTTTTTTTCTGATAGTATATATTTTACCCCCTTTTCTTCGTCTATTTGGTAAGCCAATAAAATTATGAAAACGAAGTCCCGTTTCTGCAATTTTGTTTACAGCAAATTTACAAAAAAATCTTATACTCAATAAGATTTGATATTGATGGCAAACTTCTTATTTTCAAAATGAAATAAAGTCAAACTATTGACAAAAGTTCTGTAGAAAAAAAGTATGCTAAAACATATAATATGTGTCACAGGATCATTATTAACTATGTTAACATTTATGACAATTTGCAGTGCGTCATCTCATTACTATCAACATATTTATTGAATAATTCAGTATTAGGATTGGAAGCAACCAAAACCTTTGCACGCCCTCTCATCTCATTCATTCATGGTTTGTGAGTTCATGGCCTCTAATGTCATAGATTACGGTGGAGTATAGAATGATATGTTTGACTGGTTTCTTCAGTCATTGCGCATGGCAGGCGCGAATTTTACTAACGTTTGCAAAGAGTAATATATCTTTAATCGCTTGATGAAGACCCTTTGTAACAGACAGACGTTACCGCAAGACTGTTGATAACAGTTGTAATTTATCCTTATAATTAGGAGTTGAATTCTATATACATGGTAAAACCCCTGTCACACCGGGTCTGAGTCCTCACGGCGATCGCACGACGTCCATAAAAATGCTTTTTAAACGCCGCACGACGTCCATAAAAATGCTTTTTTATTCGATCAGTATTCAAGATCAAAAGTTTATAAAACAATATACACAATAAAAGCGGAGCAAACACGGGTCTCCAAGACATCAGAGGTGGGATCAGGTGCCATGGATGAGTGAGCATCCCCTGCAAACCGGTCTCACACGCCGTGTGCTTCTTGTCATGATCGGGAAATACCGGTAACGAAAAATTAAATCCGTCATCAATTTAGTGTATAAATAAAGGACTAACAATAAGTATGAAAATCGTCAGTCAGCATTTGACTCAATGATAAATTGTATTTGCTGACAAGGTCATTCTATCGACCATAGAACTTACGAAATAATGAATTTAAACGAGACTAACATTCTTGTTTCATCAAATTGTTTGTAAATAATATACCTCGTTTTAGCATGCTCTTGCGTATCGAATCAACTGAGATAAATATATAAACTCCGTATGCAGGTGACGAAGGTATATTGCTGCATGCATACTGTAAACTAAATATTATTCGCGTCATCTTTTATTCGCGATTCCTCACTTTGAAAGCAATCCAAAATTCTCAATAAATACGAAGCAAAATGAATGGTTCGCGGTAATTAATATTCTCGAGTTTAAGTAGGTCGCGAAACTCGCAAATATTTCTCGCACGCGAATAAAAGTTGGTTAACAGTAAGTAAGGGATGTTCACGATTGAAAAGTTTGGTTGTTAATAAATCACCATTAACGTCTTCTTCAAGTAAAAAATCCAAATATGAAACATATGTGTCAGACTCTGTGGTATATGTTTTATCTCAAGTTCAAAGGATATATCGTATCGACAAAAAAAAATGGAAATTACCAGTGCTAATTAACAATACGTCGTCAATATATCAAATGTCGAGCTGAAAGCCACAGTAAGTATTTTCTTCTTTTCACATATAATATTTTGGACAAATTCTGCTTCATATGAATACAAAAATATGTCTGCTAATAACGGGGCATAATTGGTACCCATGGGAATTCCAATAGATTGTTGGAATACCTTGTCTCCAAAACCACATAGATATTGTCAATCAGAAACTCAAGCATCTTTTTGATTTCAACTTTAGAGTACTTGTACGTACAATCAGAATGTTTTTGAACAAAACAATTTTGCAAATTACCAATGACAAGGTAAGTAAATTTACGAGTTCCATTTTTATTGAAAAGATGCAGCTTTCAAAGATATCAAAAAGTCTGGACTTAAAATTAACGTGGGGAATGGATTTTGTATAAAGTTGAAAAGTCGTAAGTTTTTAAAGCTGTTCATTTTGGTAAAATCGTGTGATTTCAAATTATTCAAAAAGTTCCTTGGAATTTTTAAGTACATGTATCCACATCTGATTTACACCACTTCTTTGATATATTGTTTCACAGTACTCTTGAAGGTTCTCCTTCCACTACTGTTAATATCTCAGTGAAGAGTAAAGAAAGAGGCTTGTTTGAACATTTACTGGAACCCGCTATGTATCTTTGTTTGTAAGGATTTTTATGAAGTTTCGGAACCCAATATCGATATGGTAGTGCAAATCCATTTGGTTCTTTGGGATATTAAAAATATTCAAAACTGACATACGATTTTGAAGTATTTCTTCCTTAGAAAGGGAACTATGAGTATAAATTGGATTACCACTTGTAGAATTGAATTCACGGTCTTCTAAAATACAAAGAGTTATTCCTTAAATCAAGTTACCAATTAAAGCTTATCCGCTATATTCATTATAATATACGTACTGATCATGTAATCTATAATTTTTTTTTACTTCTGGATTATTGAATACAGAAGAATAGATGGCTTTCATATTGCTCCTGAATCTTTTAATTCGCGATGTCATAGATCTGATTCATTAAATCCATTCTGACAAAGTGTCAACGTCTGCTTTTTCATATCTGGCCCATCGCCTGGCGTAATATTCTACAGAATACATATTTATGAAATTCCGACGTCAGTTGAAGGATCATGGTTCCCTATAATAAGGACCTTTTAAAAAAAGTGATCTAAGGTCCTCATTATAAACTATATTAACGTCACCTGTAATAACTTGTCCAGCAGGACTATAGTTATAGGGTGAAGAAGTACAAGAATACGATGGAGGATTATTTGTCAGATATTCGATATCCAGGACCTGTAAAATTTTCTTAAATAACATTCTACTTCCGTGTGGATTGGTTGAAATTAGGGATGTCAACGAATAGTCGAATATTCGAATACTCATTCGATGAGTTGATATTCGAATATGAATTTATGATTCGAATATTCGTTTTTAAGTATACAAGCTTTAAAATGAGAGAAAAACCTGGCAATTTTTATTAGAAATTGAATAAAGTTTGTACAAAATTGAAAAAAAAAAACATTCCTCTTGGATTATCTTAAAGTTTTGAAGAGTGTATCTATCTGAGTAATTTATTTAAGGGGGGACCTATGTCGTTCGACGTCAAAGCAGCGTTATATGACGTCACAATAGGGATGTTTGTTTTTTTTCCCGCTGACTTTTGCAACTGTGATTATAGGCATAACATTGTTATTAATCAAAAACGTACACATTTTACAAAAAGAAATTGTTTTCATCATTTAAAACAGTTTTATTTGATTTATGGGGTTTGTTAATATCAGAATTCTCTTCCTTTGGTTGATAATTCATAGCAATTTTAGTTGTGAAGAAATACCTCTATGATATGCTGATATAAAAATGCAAAAAATATAAGATAAAATTCAGCAAAGAC